CTGCTGGGAGAGCAATACAGCAGTGCACAGACAATCTAGGAAGTTTTTGGAAAGGGTAGGGGACAATTTCCTGGTGCAAGTGCTGGAGGAACCAACTAAGGGCAGAGCTCTTCTTGACCTGCTGCTCACAAACCGGGAAGAATTAGTAGGGGAAGCAAAAGTGGATGGGAACCTGGGAGGCAGTGACCATGAGATCATAGAATAACAGAGTTGGAAGGGACCTCTGGAGGCCATCTAGTCCAACTCCCTGCCCAGAGCAGGACCAATCCCAACTAAATCATCCCAGCCAAGGCTTTGTCAAGCCTGACCTTAAAAACTTCTAAGGAAGGGGATTCCACCACCTCCCTAGGTAACGCATTCCAGTGTTTCACCACCCTCCTAGTGAAACAGTTTTTCCTAATATCCAACGTAAACCTCCCCCACTGCAACTTGAGACCATTACTCCTTGTCCTATCATCTGCTATCACTGAGAATAGTCTAGATCCATCCTCTTTGGATCCACCTTTCAGGTAGTTGAAAGCAGCTATCAAATCCCCCCTCATTCTTCTCTTCTGCAGGCTAAACAATCCCAGCTCCCTCAGCCTCTCCTCATAAGTCATGTGTTCCAGACCCCTAATCATTTTTGTTGCCCTTCGCTGGACTCTCTCCAATTTATCCACGTCCTTCTTGAAGTGTGGGGCCCAAAACTGGACACAGTACTCCAGATGAGGCCTCACCAATGTCGAATAGAGGGGAACGATCACGTCCCTCGAGCTGCTCGCTATGCCCCTACTTATACATCCCAAAATGCCATTGGCCTTCTTGGCAACAAGGGCACACTGCTGACTCATATACAGCTTCTCGTCCACTGTCACCCCTAGGTCCTTTTCCGCAGAACTGCTGCCTAGCCATTCGGTCCCTAGTCTGTAGCGGTGCATTGGGTTCTTCCGTCCTAAGTGCAGGACCCTGCACTTATCCTTATTGAACCTCATCAGATTTCTTTTGGCCCAATCCTCCAATTTGTCTAGGTCCTTCTGTATCCTATCCCTCCCCTCCAGCGTATCTACCACTCCTCCCAGTTTAGTATCATCTGCAAATTTGCTGAGAGTGCAATCCACACCATCCTCCAGATCATTTATGAAGATACTGAACAAAACCGGCCCCAGGACCGACCCTTGGGGCACTCCACTTGATACCGGCTGCCAACTAGACATGGAGCCATTGATCACTACCCGTTGAGCCCGACAATCTAGCCAGCTTTCTACCCACCTTATAGTGCATTCATCCAGCCCATACTTCCTTAACTTGCTGACAAGAATACTGTGGGAGACCGTGTCAAAAGCTTTGCTAAAGTCAAGAAACAATACATCCACTGCTTTCCCTTCATCCACAGAACCAGTAATCTCATCATAAAAGGCGATTAGATTAGTCAGGCATGACCTTCCCTTGGTGAACCCATGCTGGCTGTTCCTGATCACTTTCCTCTCATGCAAGTGCTTCAGGATTGATTCTTTGAGGACCTGCTCCATGATTTTTCCAGGGACTGAGGTGAGGCTGACTGGCCTGTAGTTCCCAGGATCCTCCTTCTTCCCTTTTTTAAAGATTGGCACTACATTAGCCTTTTTCCAGTCATCCGGGACTTCCCCCGTTCGCCACGAGTTTTCAAAGATAATGGCCAATGGCTCTGCAATCACAGCCGCCAATTCCTTCAGCACTCTCGGATGCAACTCGTCCGGCCCCATGGACTTGTGCACGTCCAGCTTTTCTAAATAGTCTGATATGCCTTGGTGTAAATGAGGTGAAAATTGGACTCCATTGAATTACTCTGTGTGACGGGTTGTGTCACAGAAACCCCCTTGGGACTGCCACCTGATATGCTGAGACTACCTCTGAGCCCGTTTTCCCTGGCAGCTTGAGTCTTCAGAACCCTGCCTTGTTGAGCCAGACATGTCAGCCTGCTCCAACACAGGCCTAGGGTCTGAACCACATACCCCCAAAACTGTAGTCTTAACTGAAAATGGCTTAGCAAGTGTTCCTGTCTCTCGCACCCAGATACCCAGTTCCCAGTGGGATCCAAACCCCAAATAAATCCGTTTTAATCTGTATAAAGCTTATACAGGGTAAACTCATAAATTGTTCGCCCTGTATAACGCTGATAGAGAGCTATGCCCAGTTGTTTGCTCCCCGAGGAATTAATTACTTACTCTGGGTTAATTTATAAGAAAAAAGTGATTTTATTAAATATTAAAAGTAGGATTTAAATGGTTCCAAGTAACAACCGTCAGAACAAAGGAAGTTACCAAGCAAAATAAAATAAAACACACAGGTCTAAGCCTAATACAGTAGGAAACTAAATGCAGCTAAATCTCACCCTCAGAGATGTTCCAATAAGCTTATTTCACAGACTAGGCTCCTTCCTAGTCTGGGCCCAATCCTTTCCCCTGGTACAGTCCTTGTTCCAGCTCAGGTGGTAGCTAGGGGATTTCTCATGACTGCAGCCCCCTCTGTTCTGTTCCATCCCCTTATATACCTTTGGCACAAGGTGGGAATCTTTTGTCTCTTTGGGTCCCCACCCCTCCTTCTAAATGGAAAAGCACCAGGTTTAAGATGGATTCCAGTACCAGGTGACATCGTCACATGTTCTGTGAGACCCCAAGCCTTCATTCTTCCCAGTCTGACTCACAGGAAGGCTTGCAAGTAAACAGAGCCATCTACAGTCAATTGTCCTGGTTAATGGGAGCCATCAAGAGTCCAAACCACCATTAATGGCCCACACTTTGCATAACACTTTGCATAGGACGTCAGAGTTATATTTTAGATTCCTATGACAGGTTTCAGAGTAGCAGCCGTGTTAGTCTGTATCTGCAAAAAGAAAAGGAGGACTTGTGGCACCTTAGAGACTAACAAATTTAGTTGAGCATAAGCTTTCGTGAGCTACAGCTCACTTCATCAGATGCATTCAGTGCCACAAGTCTTCCTTTTCTTTTTGGAGTCCTAGTTTCAGATACAAGAATGATACATTCATACAACTGGATGATCACACTCAGTAGATTATATACTTTGTAATGATACCTTACAAGAGACCTTTCGCATGAAGCATATTCCAGTTACATTATATTCACACTCATTAGCATATTTTCATAGATTCATATGGAGTGCAACCACATTGTGGATTTACACCAGTATAGTAAGAGTTATGGGCCTTATGGACTCATGCCAGTTTAGTCGGGGCGGGGGTGGGGGGTCAGCAACTGTGCAGTCGCTAAATAGAGCTTACTCTTTCTTACACCCTCCTGTTTGACACCCTTCTTGTTCTTCACCCTTCCTTCATGTTAGTGTCTGATGCAAAGCCCATTGAAGTAAGTGGGGGTCTCTCCACTGAATTCAGTGGGCTTTAGAACAGGCCCTGAGTATATAAGGTCCATTCATTTTGCTCTTCCAGTGAATGGCAAAATTACCTATGTGGGTTTTTATGCCACCTTTGGCACTGTGGTATCAGAATTCCTGTGCAAGTCACCATACTTTTTCCCATTTACACAAGTCTGTAACTGGTAACACTGGTAGCACTGCTGGGGAGCTTGACTCATTGTCTACAGTCTTTGAAATATAAAGCTCAGTCGCGTAGGCAATATAGAGGAAAGCAATGTCTGTGTTATAAGGGGCACAACATTACAGACTTCAAAGGTTCAAATATTTAGCTTCTGTAGCTTCTTAAATATTGTCACCTGGATGTCTCGAAAGTTTGCTGAGACTGAACCCAATAAATCAAGATAAATGCATGCTTTGATCTGCATGATGAAAACACCTGCTTTTCTACATGTAAATTCCTTTTTATAAATGTTTATGTCTCTGCCAGAATTTAAAATAAAAAGAATCAATGAGTTTGTTTTATATTTGCCCTCTGCGATTTTCTACTACATTTCTGTAACCCAGTGGGGTTTTCAGGGAAGGCTCATGGTGTTGTAGTTACCAGGGAAACATATATTAAGCTGTTCCAATCTAAAGGAGAAAGTTCCTATTAACTTTCTATTAAAAAGCAGGTGATGTGAATTAAAAGAAGAGGTACCTGGATGGTTACTCTATTAAAACATTGAACTAATATAGCTACTTTCATCCTACTCCAAGGAGCCCAAAGCACTTTCTGGCAAGATTCAGCAAGTAATAGAAGTTGTGAAGTAGAATACACCTCAGGGTGAGTAGTGGTGGCAGAATCTAACCTTTCACAATCTAGACTTCACTGTTAGGCATGGCCATGAGCACACGGTGGCGCATTGAACTGAACCAATCCAGGAGTAGCCCCAGAAGCAGACGCCGTGTGACTGTGGGCTGGTCTAAACTTAAAACTTTTGGTGGCATAGCCATGTCGGTCAGCATTGTCTTTTCTTTCTTTTTTTTACCCTCCTTGACCAACTAGGAAAAGCCCAAGTGTAGATGCAGTTAAACTAGTATAAAAAAAAAAAAGTCCTTTTCCTGATATAGCTTGTTATATTCCAGGGAACTGAATAAGCTATACCAGCACGAGAGTTCTATGGCTGGTATGCACTGTGTCCCCAAAAAGGGGGTTTGCCACGATAGCTATATCAACAAACCCTTTACAGTTCAGGCTAGGCCTTAGAGATACCACCTTTGGGCAAAATCCCTCCCCTGTTTTCTCCGTGCTCCGGGGAGTAGTAATTTACCTCTGGCTTTTACCAGAAGAAATTTACAACATTCCTTACATCAGCCCAGCCGCACTGGCTGGAAAGTGGAGCCAAGTCTCCACCCATTCCCCACTCACCTGCTCTGGGGAGCAGGAAAACCTCATAGCCCCACTTACTTCTGCATCCCTGCACTAAGTGTGTAGGTAGCCCATGTAGCCGTCTCAGGGGGTTTCTCACTCTCTTGCACAGGCACTTAGGCCAAGTCACAATTAGGCCCTGGATTAAATCTCAAAACACCCATCAGAGGAAGGTAAAAAGTATTATCCCCATTTCATGGATAGGTAAACTGAGGCAGAAAGGAGTCACTGGTAATTGACTTACCCAAGCTTTCCTTGTGAGTTGAAGAGAGAACCCATTTGTGATTCCTAACCCACTGCTCTAACAGAACTTATTCCCTCCTCATCCTTTCAGCATATCTTCTTTGATTAAGAAAGGCATTGATTTTGTTTAGAACTGATGTTGCTGTGTCTGCGTGTTGTCCTGCAGAAATGGACCTTGAGAGAAGCTTCTTTGCTTCAGTCATTTGGCGTCTATCAGTGGCATCAACATGTAAAATAATGGAACAAAAGTCTTATTTTAGTAAGCTGGCATGAACGGCTGAAAGGTTGTACTGTTTTCTCTCTGTCTCTTTTTATTTCAATTTTATTTTTGCTGGTTTATTTCTTAAGGTCCATGTCTAAAACAAGCAGGCTTTTTTCGTTAGTGTTCTCAACGGATTTAAAAAAGAGACAGAGAGCCCTATAAAGCCAAAAACAAAATAGAGGATCCAAGTAGAGAGGTATGCGTTATTGGACAAGTGTTTAATTTATGGAATTTGGCCGGCAGAACAAGTGTTTGAAATGGACTTCAATAAGTGTAGCTCGTAGTATAAATGTGGCTTGTAAAGTTGTTTTACAATCTGCCTTGCAGAGCAGTCGAGGCCTCATGGAAAACACTGAAAAACATTCTATTGAGCAGCAATGCTGTTTATATTTCATATTTTCTCTATTTGTTTTCCCTTTGGTTTTATAACTAAGACCATATGCAGAAAACAGGATCTTTGTGCCTTAAAATATCCACTCGGCCCTGCTACTTTATTAATAAAGAATATCTAGCAGCTAGAAAATACTTTATACCTTCACAGCTCTGTTCAAATAGTACCAATTAAGTCTTGTTCTATTCCCTGTTTCCCACCCTGATCTAGGGCAAGCCACTTCGTTTCTCTGTGTCTCAGTTGCCCATCTGTAAATGTGGATAATGGCACTTCCCCACCTCCTCGGACTGAAGTTAGGATAAAAACATGACAGGATTCTGAGGCTACAGTTGTGAGTGTGTGAGATACTACAGCTGATGCGTCAAAACCAAAACTCTTCTCAGAAATGTGTTGGTCTCAACTAAATGTTTTTGTTAGGAAAATTTCAGGTGCAGGAATGAGGAGGGGGACACCTGGCCAGATTGACTAGCCCACCCCAGAATATTCAAGAGTCTGATGCACTCACCTGGCTGTAGGAGACCTAAATTCAAATCCCTGCTCTGAAGCAGAAGGTGAGTGCCTGGATCACTTGGCTGCAGAGTCAGTCTCTCCTGTTGGAGCTGTTTCAACGTGTGTAAATAATCAAATATTCGTTGAGCCAGAAAGACTCTGAGTATGTCTACATTGGGATAAAAGACCTGGGTTGGTGGACTCAAGCTGTGGGGCTAAATATTGCTGTGTAGATGTTTGGGCTCAGGGCATAGGCGCTGACTCCGTGGGTGCTCCAGGACTGGAGCACCCATGGGGAAAAATTAGAGCGTCCTCTGCACCCACCGGCAGCCAAGCTCCCCTCACCCCCCGCCCCACTTCCTCCTCCTCCCCTGAGTGTGCCACGTCCCTATTCCTCCACCTACCTCCCAGTGTTTCCCACCCAGCCGCCACCAAACAGATGTTTGGCAGCATTAGCACACTCCGGGAAGGGGGAGGAGCGGGAATGTGGCGTGCTCATGGGAGGAGGCGGGGAAGAGGCGGTGCCAGGGCGGGGATTTGGGGAAGGAGTTGGAATATTGGCAGGGAGGGGGCGGAGTTGGGGCGGGGACTTTGGGGAAGGGGTTGGAATGGGGGCAGGGAAAGGGTGTGAAGAGGCAGGGCCTCATGGAAGGGGTGGAGTGGGGGCAGGGCCAGGGCAGAGAAGGGGTCGAGCACCCACGGGAAAGAGGGGGAAGTGGGGTCCCAGAGCTCAGGTTCCAGGCCAAGTCTGAACATCTACATAGCAATTTTACAGCCCAGCAGTCCGAGCCTTGCAAGCACCAATCAGCCAACCTTGATTGCTGTGTAGACATACCCTCTGTGGCCCAATGGTTAGGACACTCATGTGGTCTCTGGGAAACCCAAGTCCAAGGCCTGGCTCTGATTCAGACAGAGCCAGGACTTGAATCCAAGCAGAGACACCACTCATGGTCTCCCAGGTGCGTGCCTTTACCCGCAGGCTATTTGCTATTCTGGGCATCTTTTTTTTTTTTTTTTTTTGCACTAAACATTTCCAAAGGTCTCAGTTTTGTTCCAGTCCAGCACAAAAAACAAATGTTGAAGCCTCAACATTTCTCACAACACAGAATCCTTCTTTTCCAGCCAGCCTTTTTCTAATAGTCATAGTTAGCCACCCAAGTTAAAATGGCCTGGTTCCAAACTCTGACGGGTGGCATTTGTCCTTATACCGACATGCCAGTGTAGCTTTGCTGCATGGGTTTATTTAATGCCACTTGTAGGAAACAAGCTTAGTTTTTTAGTTTAAGAGCTGTCACTAATCATTTTGTACCCTCTTGCTGTGATTGCATTGCACTCAGCCCCAGTAGCTATTTTGAAAGTCTCTTTTTTGTTCATTTATTTCCAGTGTCACAAACCAATCTGTTGTAGAGCCTTGCTTCGTAAATTCATTATGACTCAGCCAAGCACTCTGTCGCTGTACCGGAACTTTGCCCTCCAGCTGTGCACTCGTGAATTTTACTTGCTTTTGATTTCCTTTGCAATTTGTGCTGAGAGCAGCACCCTTTTACAGAATGCTTTCTTTTACCACATCCCTTGAATTTAGCATTTTTTGGTCATGGTATCCACATTTTAGGTGTTACCAACTCCCATGATTTTATCGGAGTCTTATGATATTTTTGAAGCCCCAGCTCCTGGAGTCAGGTGATTACACAAGAATCTCATTATAAATAAAGTAAGTTTTCTAGCCCTCATGGGTGCAGAGAAAAGCTTGAAAACATGATCTCCAAAGGCTCAGATCTCAGTAGGTGAATAAAAAGAACACAGCATTTATTATTTTGTAAAATTGCGTGATTTACGGGCCAATCTCATGATTTTAGGGGTCCTGATTCATGGTTTTCGAAAGCTTGGGATTGGCAATACCATTTGTTGCAAAGAAAAGCCATTTGTTTGATCTTACATTCTTTCTTAGTGCCTTGTTGTGTATTTTTAACTGAATGCACTTCATTTCTTTTACTGCTTGTTAACACTTTCGTGTGGGTAACACAGTTTTCATTGGCTCTCCAAATAGCCTGCTATTCTCTGCAAAGTCTCCCAGTAGCCCCCACTTTGACCTGATAATCGTTTGCACCACAAATGATTCGGTCTCTAATTAGTCCATTTGTTAACTGTTCAAATTCCTCATGACTTAGCTTTATTATGTAATAGGTCTGTAGCATAATGTTCAAGCATAGAATCATAGAATATCAGGGTTGGAAGGGACCTCAGGAGGTCATCTAGTCCAACCCCCTGCTCAAAAGCAGGACCAATCCCCAATTAAATCATCCCAGCCAGGGCTTTGTCAAGCCTGACCTTAAAAACTTCTAAGGAAGGAGATTCTACCACCTCCCTAGGTAACGCATTCCAGTGTTTCACCACCCTCCTAGTGAAAAAGTTTTTCCTAATATCCAACCTAAACCTCCCCCACTGCAACTTGAGACCATTACTCCTTGTCCTGTCCTCTTCTACCACTGAGAATAGTCTAGAACCATCCTCTCTGGAACCACCTCTCAGGTAGTTGAAAGCAGCTATCAAATCCCCCCTCATTCTTCTCTTCTGCAGACTAAACAATCCCAGTTCCCTCAGCCTCTCCTCATAACTCATGTGTTCCAGACCCCTAATTTTTGTTGCCCTTCGCTGGACTCTCTCCAATTTATCCACATCCTTCTTGTAGTGTGGGGCCCAAAACTGGACACAGTACTCCAGATGAGGCCTCACCAATGTCGAATAGAGGGGGACGATCACGTCCCTCGATCTGCTCACTATGCCCCTACTTATACATCCCAATCTTACCTGGCTTGTTGGGAAGAAGCAGTGACATTCCTGCGTGGTCACAATATTTAAATTTGTGAATAATTTATCCCCTGGGATGCTTCTGCTGCAATATATTGCAGTTTGCCAGTGTCTCTGGGTCCGCCATGCGTTGTAATCTGGAGAATTTCACATTCTCCTAGTTCTCCTCAGCACCATTTCCTTCCAGGAAAAGTTAGAAGCTCTACAGTCATCTCTTTCAGTTCTGTCCTAGGTCCCCTTCTAGAGGAAGGGATTCATGAGGTTTCATTAGCTCTATTTTGGGCCTGAGTTTCCTTTTGACATGTTGTAATAAAAAGATGACACACAGAAATGCTGGGAAGAGCCTCATTTTTATTTCTTGGCCTCAGTCACCTGACATAGTTACATAATCGTTTGGCCATTAGCCAGGGACTTTAGAGACATCGGTTCCATTTCTGACCTTGCCACTGACTTCCTCTGTGACCTTGGGCCAGCCACGTAAAGCCTATGTTCTGCTGTTTCTCAGGTGTATAATGGGAAGGAAAGCAGCACCCTACAGTGGTGTTGTGAGGATAAATGCTTTAGAATGGTTGAGAGGTGTTCAGATACCATGGTAATGGGGCAAGTTAGATGTGACAGGTCAGTATTCACTGGCTCCATAGGCTGGCTGCCATCTTCTATATGGTGCAACTGCATTAGTAATAAAGGAATTTGTGAGTTTCTGATTGTATACCTCACACTAGGAAATATCACAGTGCCTGGCAAGCCTCAGAAGTCCCATTCTCTTTGGATTAAGGACCTCATGGCCTGGAGGCTTATCTGAAACATTTAAGCCTGCAAACCATGGCTGGAAAGTCTGGACAGAACAGCCTTATCCAGAGATTTCCAGCACTTCCTGCTTCTGGGTAGATTTGCAAGACCACAAATGCAGTATGAACGGTGACGTTTCTACTGCTGCTGGAACCACACTGGGCAGAGATATGCCAATCTGAACAATAATGAGGTTTGGTTTGTGTGGGCGATGGCTTTGGGCAGCCGTTGTTTCAGCTAAACCTCTCCCTACTAGTTAGGCTCATCGGAGAGCTCTTCTGGGAAAAGGCATTAACAAAAAAAATTGTGTGATAGATACAAGCCTATATTAATTATATTATGGGGAGACAACCTCTGTGATATGCCCTCCTTTGGATTGTCCAGTGTCTCTTCTCTGCAGCTGCCCTCTAGACCAGGGCTTCTCACCCTTTTTCTTTCTGAGGCCCCACTCAACATGCTATAAAATCTCCAGGGCCCAGCTAAGGGGGGGAGAGGGGAAGAGACTCAGGGCTCCGGCCAGGGGTGGGACCCTTGGGCATAGGCATAGTTTGACTTCTATTTTGGGGGGGCAACGGCCGGCAGGGCTCAGGCCAGCTCCGCAAAGCAGGGTCCAGGTAAGGAGCTCCACCTCCCACCCGACTCACCTCAGCAGGTCACCCACCTGTCTGGGGCTGTTTGCCAGTGGCTGCTCTCCAGGGGCTTGGCCGGCCCTGGAGCCGGGTCCCCACCTGGGCAGCTGACCAGCTGCATGAGCAGTCAAAGAGGGCTGGGAGCTGAGGAACAGCTGCAACCCTGGGCAGGCAGCAGATGGGGGAATGCCACAGCTGCCCACTCCATGACACCACTAGTCAGAGGAGCAGCTGCCCCGCACTGCCTAGCTCTGGCTTCCCACCTACGATCTGGTCAGAGGGGGGCTGAGAAAAAGGAGGAGGTGGGGGGATGGAGCTGCCCCCAGGACTGCCCCACTCTGGGTAAGGCACTGCAGTTTGGTGGGGCAACACCCTCATGCCCCCTCAACTCTGCCAATGGGCTCAGGGCTTCAGCCCTGCTGCTCCCGGCTTCAGTGGAAGGGTGGGAGGGAGCTTGGGGTTTCAGCCCGTCACTGCTCCCACCTTCAGCCTGGGTGGGAGCACCAGGGATGGGGCTTCAGCCCCATGCTGCTCCTGGCTTCAGCCCCGCAGGGGAAGCCGGGGCTTGGGGTTTCAGTCATGGGGGCCCATGGCCCCCCTGAAAGGGCTCACAGACCCCCAGAGGGCCACGGACCACCAGTTGAGAACTGCTCCTCTAGACGAAAAGAGACTGAGTCTTCATTGGGATTTGGCCCCTTTACACTGTTCCGGGATGTAAACACAGCAGATCTTGCCACCAACACATTCCCTCAGCACAGGGGATAAGTGGAGGATGTGTCTGGAGAAAAGGGGTCTGTCACTACTTGACAGCTGTTTTTGGCTGTCAGACTGTCCTGGCTATTGGGTCCATAAACAGCCAACCGCAGCTTACAATAGTTGAGGATGCTCTAATTTGTATTGAGGATTGACTCAATCCCAAACCTGAGATTACAGAGAGACAGTCCCTCCTTCCACTCCCGTGTCTTGTACTAAGTGGACTTTGGCTGGAAGTGGGAATAAAGCCTTAAACTCTTCAAGGCAGAGAGTCGTTGTACAGCAGGAATAGGATTTGGCTGTTCCTGCTACTCACCTGCCTGCTCCTTCTTCCACATCATACTGCTCATTTTATAATCTGCTTGATCTTCATTTACCTTGAAGGGCTGCTGAGGCAGGTGGATTAGCCTTTCTGCAAATTGAACATTGTTTTGTTTTTTTTAACAAGTTCTACAATTATTTAATTATGGTGCTTACATCAAGCCCCAGGCCAAATGAAGGTAATTAAGTTACACACAATCCTGATGCTTTGTTTGCAAGCTGTCACGAGAGGGAGCTAGAGCATCAGAGACAGACCTTTGCAATAAACTTCCAGTACCACATTGAACACTGGCATTTTCCTAGAGGTGGATAAATAGGCTGATATTCAGATGCTATTTACATTCCTGGGTCCTATTATTAGGAGATGCAGACCCACAAATATTTTTATCATTTACTATTTCCCCTCCCCATTCAATATCCCTTTCTCCAGCAGCGTCTGAGTCCTGACAGGGAGTTTCGAGAGGGAGTTCTCCGGGTGAAGGAGGAGCAAATACGGGACCCTGGGGGTAAGTGGCTGTCTGTAGTATGTGTTTGTGTTTGGGGGTTACTTGCTGTGTGCTGAGCTTGTGTCTGTCTGTTTGTTTGTAGGACCGTGTGCTGTGGCCGGCAGCTGGAAGCTGTGAGCTTCTAAACAAGGTTTGAAATCTAGAAGCCTCTGTTCATTGGCTGAGCCTTAGTCAGGGGGCAGGGCTATCAAGAAGGCCAAGGATTTATAAAGCAGTGAGCAAGCGACCAGGGAGCTTTGCGACCAGGGACCGCTACCAGGGAGTTTTGAGGGGGAGTGTGGAAAGGGGGCGAGGTACACTTGCCATTCTTTAAAACCTTTAAACTATAATCAAAACTTCTTGATTTAAACAAAAATCCTATCATTAACCTAGGTAGCTGTAGGCGAGAATGCAGGCAGAAGCCCAGCAGCAGAGTGGGGGCTATCCTGTTTATTGCACTCGATGTAGCATGTATGATTACCTGCCTTGTGGGTGGGTGGCATATGTGTGCATTCGGTACAAGGAGCTCCTGGCCCTCAGAGACCGTGTATGGGCTTTGGAGACCACAGTGGTGGAACTGGAGGAGCTAAGGGAGGCAGAGAGGTATGTTGATGAGGCTTTCCAGGACACTGTAGATTTGTCCCACCTCTGGTCAGACATCCCCTGTGCTGTTAAGGAGGATGAAAGGCCCAGAGAAGAAGTCAACTGGAGCAGAGGGAAACCTTCCCATAGTTGGGACCCTCCTTCCAGATGATGTTGGGGTATCCTCTCGCACTGAGGTTACCACTCCGGGGGAGGGAACTCCAGTCATTAGGAAAAGGCAGATGTTAGTAATGGGAAATTCAGTCATTTGAAACATAGATAGCTCATTTCAGAGTAGCAGCCGTGTTAGTCTGTATTCGCAAAAAGAAAAGGAGTACTTGTGGCACCTTAGAGACTAACCAATTTATTTTAGCATAAGCTTTCATGAGCTATAGCTCACTTGTTTGTGATGACCGGGAGAACCATATGGTGACTTGCCTGCCTGGTGCGAAGGCTGCGGATCTCTCGAGGCATCTAGATAGACTTATGTGTAGTGCTGGGGAGGAGCCAGTGGTCATGCTACATGTAGGTACCAGTGACATAGAGAAGGGTAGGAGAGACGTCCTGGAGGCCAAATTTAGGCTGCTAGGAAAGAGACTGAAATCCAAGACCTCTATGATGGCATTCTCAGAAATGCTTCCAGTTCCACGTGCAGGGCCAGGTGGGCAGGCAGAGCTTCAGAGTCTCAATGCGTGGATGAGACGATGGTGTAGAGAGGAGGGGTTTAGATTTATTAGGAACTGGGGAAACTTTTTTGGGATGGGGGAGCCTATACAGGAAGAATGGGCTCCATCTAAACCAAAGTGGATCCAGGCTGCTGGCACTTAGCATTAAAAGGTTGCAGAGCATTTTTTAAACTAAGAGATGGGGGAAAGCCAATTGCTGCAGAGGTGCACGTGGATCGGACAGAGACTTCTCTTACAGGAGAGTCTAGTGAGAAAGGTTCTCTAGGGTTTAGTCAGGAGGAAAGGATGGACAAGAATAAAGTATGGGCCAGATCAGAAGAGAAACATTCACATAAAGAATCTGACACATCAGAAAAGGACAGACAAATAAACAGTGACAAGTTTTTTAAAGTGCTTGTACACAAATGCTAGAAGTCTAAATAATAAGATGGGTGAACCAGAGTGCCTCGTGTTAAAGGAGGATATTGATATAACAGGCATCACAGAAACCTAGTGGCGTGAGGACAATCAATGGGACACAATCATTCCGGGGTACAAAATATATTGGAAGGACAGAACAGGTCGTGGGGTGGGGGAGTGGCACTATATGTGAAAGAAAATGTAGAATCAAATGAAATAAAAATCTTAAGTGAATCCACATGTTCCATAGAATCTCTGTGGATGGTAATTCCATGCTCTAATAAGAATATAACAGTAGGGATCTATTATCGACCACCTGACCAGGACAGTGATAGTGACGATGAAATGCTAAGGGAGATTATAAAGAACTCAATAATAGTGTGGGGTTTCAATTATCCCCATATTGACTGGGTACATGTCACCTCAGAACGAAATGGAGAGACAAAATTTCTCGATACTTTAAATGACTGCTTCTTGGAGCAGCTTGTACAGGGACCCACAAGAGAGAGACAACTCTCGATCTAGTCCTGAGTTGAGCGCAGGATCTGGTCCAAGAGGTAACTATAACAGGACCACTTGGAAATAGTGACCATAATATAATAACATTTAAGATCCTGTGGTGGGAAGAACACCTCAACAGCCCAACACTGTGGCATTTAATTTCAGAAAGGGGAACTTTGCAAAAATGAGGAGGTTAGTTAAACAGAAATTAAAAGGTACAGTGACTAGAGTGAAATCCCTGCAAGCTGCATGGACACTTTTCAAAGACACCATAATAGAGGCTCAACTTAAATGTATACCCCAAATTAAAAAACACAGTAAAAGAACTAAAAAAGAGCTACCATGGCTTAACAACCACGTAAAAGAAGCAGTGAGAGATAAAAAGGCATCTTTTAAAAAGTGGAAGTCAAATCCTAATGAGGTAAATAGAAAGGAGCATAAACACTGCCAAATTAAATGTAGAAATGTAATAAGAAAAGCCAAAAAGGAGTTTGAAGAACAGCTAGCCAAAAACTCAAAAGGTAATAACAAAATGTTTTTTAAGTACATCAGAAGCAGGAAGCCTGCTAAACAGCTAGTGGGGTCCCTGGATGATCGAGATACAAAAGGAGCACTTAAAGACGATAAAGTCATCGCAGAGAAACTAAATTAATTCTTTGCTTCAATCTTCACAGCTGAGGATGTTAGGGAAATTCCCAAACCTGAGCCATCTTTTGTAGGTGACAAATCTGAGGAATTGTCACAGATTGAAGTGTCACTCAAGGAGGTTTTGGAATTAATTGAGAAACTTAACAGTAACAAGTCACCGGGACCAGATGGTATTCACCCAAGAGTGCTGAAAGACCTCAAATATGAAATTGCAGAACTATTAACTATGGTTTGTAACCTGTCCTTTAAATCAGCTACTGTACCCAATGACTGGAAGATATCCAATGTAACGCCAATATTTAAGAAGGGCTCTAGAGGTGATTCTGGCAATTACAGACCGGTAAGTCTAACATCAGTACCAGGCAAATTAGTTGAAACAATAGTAAAGAATAAAATTTTCAGACACATAGACGAACATAAATTGTTGTGCAAAAGTCAACATGGTTTCTGTAAAGGGAGATCATAGAATCATAGAAGATCAGGGTTGGAAGGGACCTCAGGAGGTCATCTAGTCCAACCTCCTGCTCAAAGCAGGACCAATCCCCTCCTGCCCCCAAGTCTCTTTCCTTAAGGATCCACAAAGAAAATGGTGGGTAGAATAGCCCATCCCCTCATTATTTTGTCCACCAAATATACCTAGACTAATTCAGTTTTTCTGTCTCCTTTCAAATCTTTTCCCATCAACATTGGTTATGGGGTTTTGTGACATTTTATGAACTTTCAGATGCTTTTTACAGTTGAGCTCACAATTAGATTAAATGTGTAGGCCCAATTATCACAACAGGCTTTAATAGTGAATGGGGATGAAGAGTAGAGCTGGGTGAATAATGGGTTTTCTGGTTCATTAGCAATTTTGAAAAGTTAAAAAAAAATGATTTCAGGTCCAACCAAAAATGAAAATGTTGGCAAATAAAAGTCTACAAAATTTTCATTTTGAATCCAATAAAACATTTCATTTTCATAAAATGTTGTTTCAATTTTGACCATTTTTAATGTTTTACTCATTTTTCAAAAATATTGAATTAAAGGAAATTTGAAATGAAAAAGCCATTTCAAACTGAAATTCAAAATGTGTCATTAGATTTTTTTAACAACTCTTTGTGTGGCTTTTCGAAATGAACAATTTGTCAAAACTGACATAAATTAGCAAAACATTTTGGTGTTCCCAAATCTGCATTTTTCACCAAAAAAAAGTTTCAGATGAAAAATGTTGCCAGGTTCTAGTGAAGAGCTTTGAGATTCTTGAGCAAAATGTGCTATGTAAATGCATATGAGTTAGTGTACCAGCTTCTTATGCACCCCCTGTGCAAAGTTTGCCAAGGTCTGTGAAAATGGATGGACAGTGCCTCTTCGTTTGGCCAGCCATATTCCCATCCTTAATGGTACAGATTAGTGTATGGAACAGCTTCCATGTGAGGAGAGATTAAAAAGACTGGGACTGTTCACCTTGGAAAAAGAGATGATTAAGGGGAAATAGGATAGTGTTCTATAAAATCTCGAATGATATGGAGGAAGTGAGTAAGGAAGCGTTATTTACACCTTCACATAACACAAGAACTAGGGGTCACCAGATTAAATTAATAGGCAGCAGGTTTAGACAAACAAAAGAAGGTACTTCTTCACACAATGTACCGGTAACCTATGGAACTCATTGCCAGGGGATGTTGTGAAGGCCAAAAGTGTAAGAGGATTCAAAAAAGAATTAGATAAGTTCATGGAGGATAGGTCCAACATTGGCTATTAGCCAAGATGGTCAGAGATGCAACCCCATGCTCTGGGTGTCCCGAAACCTCTGTCTGCCAAAAGCTGGGACTGGACAACAGGGGACGGGTCACTTGATAAATTGCCCTGTTCTGCTCTTTCCGTCTGATGCATGTGGCATTGGCCACTGTCAGATGACAGGGTACTGGGTTAGATGGACCATTGGCCATTCTGGGTCAGACCAGTCTTAGGTTTATACAGAAAAGATGTGCCAGCTTAGACCCAGTTTGTCACTCTCGTCATAGCCTTTTAGGAGTCCCACATGTGCAGCACAGAGGGCCTCACACTAGCCAAACCAATGCGTGAATTCCACTCTGTGGGACTGTCTTTGCACACATTTCTTGCACAGGTTTTAGCTCCCATATATCCAATATGATTGTATGCAAAGGTAAGGATAATTCTGGAGGCATGTTACATTCACTGCAATGTATATTCCACTAACAGATGTATGAGCATTATTGCACATACAGGCATTTTGATGTGTGATGCTTTACAGACAAAATTAGGAAATTAACAATCCTGTGACCCTGCCTGCAATTAAGCCTGCACTTTGCCTGCCTATTACATGACGTGCTGCTGTGCCTTTTTCCCTCTTCCTTATCCATGGCTTATATCACTTGTGACATGACAGGAAGGATGAACAGATGTTCTCTGAGCGCTATTTGTGATGCCGCCAGTAGTTTTCTCTTCACAAACACTTCCCCGGTTGGCATTAAGCTCCACCATCACTGAGTATAAGTACCACGCCTTCCCGGCACACACCAAGATCTCCCTCCAAGTGTGATTCTTTGGGATCTGCTGGAAGAACAGGTATGCACAGCTTCCATTCAGTCTTCATCTGGGGGTGAAATAAGTCCAGGCGAAGGTGATGGAAACAGGTTTTGGGGTATATAGTTCTTGCCTCCAAGAATGTCTGAAAAGTGCCCTAAAGTCATTCCCACCTGCTGGCAGATTGATGGTCTATGTGAAATCCACTATAGGGATGGAAGTCCATTTCTTAGTGGGGACAGATCTACCTTTAAAAAGTACAATAATCTTCTCAGATGGCACTCTTTACAATTCTGGTTGGCAGTGTCAGCAGAGAGACCAGGGTTTGCATGCACTGTGGAGACTGAAGTTCTCTCTGCCCTCTAGACAGAGTCTGCCACACCAAGCTAGATCTGAGACACAATGGCTGATGCTGCTCTCCTATCAAACGCATTCTCTGGATAAATAGTGGACATCTGTCTCCAGTACTGTTAAGGTAGAGGTGGCACCTTTCACCAGTCCTCCTCCTAAAACTATGGGAAGTGGTATCACTGCCCAGAAAAATGCAGAGTGGTCTAACTGGACCAGTAGGATCACTCTTGAAGGCCCTTTGGATATCACTGTGCCTGGCCATCCTCCTATCTTGTGCAATCTCTGTTTTTCATATGTTCTCCCTTCACAGCCACACGAAACACGCAGAAGGTACCAAATTGCTGTATATTGTGCAGGGATAGCACAGCAAAACGACATGCATGCACAGCAAATCAGAAAAACATTGCCCAGCTTCAGTGATGTTATTACTCTGGTTAGCAGTGAGGGGTCAATTTAAGATGTAGCCTGCACTTCTCTTCTCCAAACAGGGAACTATTGGAGCTCCGCTTGTGCTTCCAAATAAACAAAACAAAACGAAAAAAAACCCTTGCATTCTTCCATCCACTCTTACTGTCAGTCAAGCAATGTTCTTGATATTGTGACCAGTCCAATGAAAATCCAGCCTAGGCCTTTCGGTCTTAACTCATGCTGTTATGGGAAAATAGATGCAAAATAACTATTTAAATACATACTTTTCAGAACTAGCTTAACTCCTTTTCATCCTAGATTCCAAATGCCTTTGCCTTTGAGTCTGATATTAGTAGCTGAATCTCCATTTGGTGTGAGGTTTCCGTCCACAGCAAATGTTTACGTTTGAGCCTTGAGAACTAGGGGAAGGGATTTCCACTTCAAACTCTTCAAAAATTCAGAATGAATTGGCTCTGTTAACTTTAACAATGTTCTGCCTTTAACAGTTAAACATTTAAGTTCTTCTCTTGGAGTCGTGGGGCATGAGTTTAAGGATGGATAAAGAAGTTTGGAAACAAGAGCTAGCTTCATAATTCATTGTGATACATTTCCTCTCTTACCAACCTGCAGCAAGCCTTTATATCTTGATGAAATCCCTCTCTGGAGCTCATCAGGTGTGACCACTTCTAATGAGCCAGCTCCCTGGGAAGGGAGTCACCACATTCTGGAGCTCCTGTCTCTAAAGGAAAAGGAGTACTTGTGGCACCTTAGAGACTAACCAATTTATTTGAGCATGAGCTTTCGTGAGCTCATGCTCAAATAAATTGGTTAGTCTCTAAGGTGCCACAATTACTCCTTTTCTTTTTGCAAATACAGACTAACACGGCTTTTCCTCTGAAACCTGTCTCTAAAGGGAATCAATCTACACATGAGCATTTAAACTAGTGTGACAGCCATCACATTAGGTGATACACTGGGGACTTCCAGAGCTAAATGCAGGAGCTGCTACAGCTTGAGCTAAAGATCTTTAGCTGGGGCTGGAACAGACTCTAAATCTCTGTGGATCACGCACAGAGGGGGGCCTGTAACACACCCCTATCGGTGGGTTACACAAGCAGAGGCATTGCCGTGCCTGAGAACTTACTGAAAATCATTACCAATGATAAGTGGAGAGAACTGAGAGTGAAGGGAAGGAAAGGATTGACTTGGGGTGCAGAGGTGGGATGCAGGGTGCATTAGCAAGGAGGAAGTGGAGCAAAAAGAACTCAAAATTTCAGTCACATTTAAACATCTCAAGGGATTGTTCTGAACCAAACCTCCCAACTCTTTAAGGTCCAGGCATCACAGTAAGTGATGTATGTGCCCATCTACCAAGGAACATGAATTCATCCAGCCAGTCTGTCCCTTCCCTTCTGTAAGGGCCAGATTGCCACACCCATATTCATGTTGGGTAGCACCTTACTCCACCAGTGGTCTCATTGACTTCAGTGGGGTTTCTGAAGGGGTAAGTCACTACTCATTATGAAAAAGAGTATTATAGTCTTTCCCTAAGTACAGAAGAAATTTGCTGGTGCACAAGTTAGGAGATTGAAAGCAAATAACATCTGAGACCAGTTTGAGAGTTGTGATCCATTGTTCCCTTTCCTCGATTCCTTAAGATATGGAAGACAGTGAGATTGTTAGAATCGATAATAATGGAGAAAGGAAGATGTACAATGAAAAGAGCACAAGAGACCAGAGACCAGTGGAAAGTGGCAAAATAAGAATCTGAAAAACCCTTGGATATCTAACAGGAGAAAAGAAATAGTGTGGAGACTGGCTGAAAGGTACAGCCTTTGATTATCTGAAAAGCACCATGGGTAATAAATAACAACTAGCTCATTACACCAACAGCAATGTTAACATTTTCTGGGTGCGTATATTAGGCATTAATCTATCTAACTCCCTGATTTGTGTACTTGGAGGCTGTTTGCATATGCAAACACTAGCGTGTCCCAGAATTTGGGGTGTACATTTTTTTTGGCTAAGCCACTTAATTTTCAGAAAGGAAAGTTTAATGTGTCATCTTGCCATTACCATGACTGCCCACACATATTGGGCATTTGCACATGCAAAAGGCCACTTAGACACCTAAACAGCCATGTGTTAATACTGTTATTATAAGAAGCACTCATCAGGATTGGGAAACCAATTTAGATTGTAAGCTCTTTGGAACAGGGACTGTCTTTTCATGTTAACGAGTGGCTACAGCACCTAGAACAATGGGGCCCTGATTCCGAACTGGGAGCTGCTATTTGCTACTGCAATACCAGTTATTAATAAACAATAATAATTGTGATGAGTGCTGTGCAAATGTAACGCCGACAGACCCTGGTCGCTGGTGGCCTGGATCAAACCGGGGACCTCTGGAGCTTAGTGCGTGAGCCTCTACAGCATGAGCTAAAAGCCAACTGGCTGTTAAGCAGACTCATTCTCTCTCTCTCTAAGTGGTCTCGGTGCCACTAGATGGGACAGAACACCACACCCAGGAGGTGTGGGGGTTACACAAACGTAAAATAAAAAGCAGCCCCTGTCTCAAGTAGCTTACCGTCCATATAGGGACAAAACACAACCAGTGGGTATAGAATACCATGGAGGACAGAAGTAGACGTCAAGGGTAGCATTAATAGGAATATGAAGTTGCATATAGTAGATGCATGAACAACTTGAAGGCTTTGTGGCATTTTTTCAATGGTTTGGTTGTAGATAAAAGGATAAGATAAATTAACTAATCTCACCCTCTTCGTACAATAGTCACTGCAGTTGCATAGACATTGAGTTGGCATTTTCTGTGAGCTCCTTGCACGCTTGTGCAGAGCAATGTAAATATCATTGTGTTTGGCCCTCAGGCTTCTTATTCTAAAAATGTGGAACTGAAGGATTGTGTGGGCCAACTTGTAGTTGGACAGAAGTGTCAGCAACAAAGATTTAGTTCAGTACTGCTTGTGCTGATGTACTTATGTCTTGCCATGAAGGGACAAATTTTTAATAATATTTAGGCACCTAATGACATGTTATGGGATAGTGGGGTTTTCAGCAGTATCTAGGTGCCTAACTTCCATTGATTTCAATGGGAGGTAGATGCTTAGACACTCCTGGAAACTCCCGCTAGGCATCTGTTCTTTAGGTGCCTAAATACCCTTAACGATCTGTCCTATGAAACCTGCACCTCAGCATTCTGTGTCTGCATTTTTCTATGGTGAAAGGGCTGTTCCCTGACATTTCCTCATCCATCTACACACTGTTTTCAGCCTTGCCTAAAGCCCATTCAGCAGCAGAGTTACACACAGCGGTAGTTTAGTTTTCTCATTAAATTTATAGTGGAATCCTTATGCTGGCTGCCCTGCAAGAAAGACTAGTTGTGACTTTCATAAACTCTTCTTTAGTAATCTGGCCAAGTGCTTGATAGTGGTGAACTCTACCAACTGCAATACATCTCAGTTAGCTTTTTCATGTGCCAGATGCAAAATATGTCCAGGCACCAATAAATCAGAGATGAGTTTTACAGTCTTGTTGATACATTGATGGCAACAGAATGGAGGCAGACACTGCAAAGCTAAGTGTGTTTCAAGAAAGCCATGCTGGAATGATGTCTTATTCCCAGAATTTTTATTTGATCTCTTTCAGATAAACCTCTAGTTGTTCAGTTTATTGACTGGGTCCTGCGGGGAATATCCCAGGTGATGTTTGTCAACAACCCACTCAGTGGGCTGCTTATTCTAGCCGGACTGTTGATCCAGAATCCTTGGTGGACGCTCACAGGCTGTTCAGGAACTGTTGTCTCAACATTAACGGCACTTATTCTGAGCCAGGACAGGTAGGTTTGGCCTTTACATTTGGAATTTTTAAATAAATTGGCAACTGAACTTTAAAAAATATTGTGCTATCCATTAGTGGTGTGTAAGGCCCAGGTTTGAGCAGATCCGTTCTTTGGTGATGCTGAACAGTGAGTTAAAACTTTTGCTCGCATTACATAAACCACGGTTATTGCACTGAATGGCCTATAATCTCTAATCCAGGAAAGGTACAGTCTAGTACACTAAAAGCACTATAAAACACCTCAAGTTCTAATCCTGGCTCTGTCACTGTCTTGCTATGTGGCAAGTCACTTTCACTTTGCATCTCCATTCTCTTGTCTGGTAAATGGAGCTGATAACAAACATCATGATAGGGTTGTGAGGTTAAGTGTATAAAAGCAGTTTGAGAGCTAGTGGATGGACGTGTTATTTGAGCAGTTATAGGTATTTTATCTTGGCAGTCGAGTGCTCCCCTCAGCTATTGTACCTGAGCACATCACAGTCTTTAATGTATTTATCCTCACAACACCTGCCTGAGGTAGGGCAGTGCCATTATGCCCATTTTTACAGAAAGGGAACTGAGGCACAGAGACACTAAGTGATTTGCCTGAGCTCACACAGGAAGTTTGGGGTAAAACGGGATAAAACCTGGGTCTCTCCAATCTCGGGCCAGCACCTGAGCAACTGGACCAGCCTTTCTCTCCATAGGTTTTGGTTGCAGTTGCATGAGGGAAGAATTGTGGCCCCAATATTCAGGTAAAATAATCAATGAGGAGCGTGACTGTGGTTTGGGGCCTCAAGTAGTTTAGTGAGCAAGGAGGGGTAGCTTTCTGGTTATGTGCAATCTAGAACAGATTTCTTTTACGTTCAGATTTTCTGTTGCTGTTACAATGCAGTGTCTGTGGGTTATTAGAAATGTGCTGGGTAACCCACAAACTTTCAGCTGCCCTCTGAACATGGGGTACCAAGCAACACCATTGCTATGGCACCAATTGTGCTAACCCCAGCTACTTACTTGTGTGAATGGTCACATTGTTCATCAGCTCAGTGTTGTCACTTTGCCAGATGTAGGACTTCTGGAAATTGCATTTCAGTGCAAGAAAGAGTGATTCACTGGGATGCGGCTCTAGTGTATACAGGGCCTTTAGGGCCAATTGCTTTCTAGTAACCATTTCAAGTCAATTGTCTTTCTCCCACAGATCGGCCATAGCAGCAGGACTGTTCGGCTACGATGGGGTCCTGGTGGGACTGCTCATGGCTGTGTTCTCTGACAAAGAAGACTATTATTGGTGGCTTCTACTGCCAGTTGTTGTTACATCCATGGCTTGGTAAGTCACACTGGTTTTATTTTCTGTAGCCCAAGCTAAACATTTCTAGTTCTTCTTTTCCTATATGGCTCTCAATGAACACTTATTGATACTAACAGGAGTTTTGCAAACACTTCAAGCACTTAGTTTCAGATTCTTTCTGTTAAATCCCACCCTACAGTTTCAATTCTGATATTCACCACTTTCTGTCCTAAACTGTGCCATTTTGCTGTGGGCTGTTAAACAACTTCTGCATTGCACCTCAGAGGCGGAAGCACTTGTTTGTTTGTTTGTTTGTTTGTTTGTTTGTTTGTTTGAGGAGTCATTCCTATATGTGCATAGCTTGTGGTGAGCTTTGGCGTCCTTTGCCCTGAAATTTAAATGGTTTTTAGTGAACCTATACAATTGATTATAGCAAATGGGCAAAATGCTTCCCCAACTTACAACCTGTGCAAATGCATGAGGTCAGTGGATCAAATTCACTGCTGGTACAATCATACCCACCAGTAAAACTATGCTCACTTGCATCACTAAATCTGACTCAGTGGATTTGCACAGGACTGAATTTGATCCTGCCTTTCTTAGGTCTTTAACTAATACTCTACAAAATTAACCCATGTGAGTACACTTGATTCCAAGCAATGTATTCTTTAAAATTAAATTTAGCTTTTAATTGTGGCTTTTAATCGTGTTACAGAATCAATTTTAATATAAATGTTTTAATCAAAATTAATTCAAGTTTTGCATTTTTAATGGCTTGTCTTAATAAGACGTAAATCTGTGTTGCCTTGTGCTCATCTTACAATTTTATTTCTATAGACTTCATAAATGAAGGTCTCATTGTACCAATCTCTTGAAACCCAGAACATTTTGCAGAATGTTGTAGCGTTTCTTAAGTGCGGCCACCATGGCTGCATGCGGCCACCAGAGGCTTTTCTTGTGGCCACACAGCCTCCTGGGCAGTGATTGTGGGGGGAGGGTACAAAGCAGCGCCCCCTCCCCTGAGCCACAAGGAAGAGTTGGACCCTGCCCCCCTCTGGAGCCACTAACACTGGAGGAGCAGACAACCAGACTGAGTTCCCCACCTTCCTGGGGATGGTGGGACTCAGGCTTCGAGCTTCAGCCCTGGGGTGGCGAGCAGAAGTCTCTGGCTGCGCGGCGCTGGGCTCCGGCCATGGGCTGAGCAGTGGCGGGCTCCATTCCCCAGTCTCAGGGCTCCATCCCTGAGCTCACCACCCCAGTTATTGCCCCTGGCACCCACTGCCTCCCCTGGGCTTACCGCTCCCTTCATCACCCCTGCTGCCTTCCTACCACCTCCCTATCCAAGGGTTAAGAGCAGGACGAGGCAGGGCAGAGGTAGGGGCTTGGGGGAAGTAGGCAGGTGGGGGGAGGGGTCTGGGGCTCAGCAGGGGGTTGAGCATGCCTGGAGGAAGCCGGCGCCTGTGCCCCTGGAGTTGTTCACTGTTTCAGCAACCCACCTTAATCTTCCCCCACCGCGTTTAGTTTCTGGAGGAGCCGTGGTAACCCTTTCCCCCCTGCCTCCCAGACCCATACAATGGAACAGAAGCCATTCATAAATGTAATACAAAGGTCCCCAAAGCTACTGGGTTGCTGTGTCCGCCACAAAGCTATTTGAAAGATTTTAAAACTTGACATTTCAGCGACATTTTTGTCAAAACTTTGAAGTTCAGTTTACAAAAGAGCAACATGTTCTGTGAAAACGCTGTCCTACTTTTCAATCCATTATAGAGCTATGGAGAAACATTAGAAATGTGGCATTTCAACAAAGAAAATGGCGGTGGGGGGGATTCACAGAAGCGCTGACCTCTTTTTCTACTCGTTCTTGCAAAGGAGTCTTCTGCACATTGCTCTGATAACTGAAATCCTTTTAAGAGAAACGCCTTGATCTGAGATTAAATAAGGATTATTACACAGTTTTCCTGTTGATCATAGCCACAAAAGGGGACATAGGATATTGCATTAGAAATGCCAAATGTTTTTGGTTAAAATCAGCACCAACTGAAAATCCCTCTAAAACCCAAACTCACCTGTTAACTCTTTTTTAAAATACGGGCTACGTTGAGCTCTCTGCTAACTTCAGTGGATTTGCACAGGTGTAACTGAGAGCAGAAGTTGACTGTGCTCAGTCCTCAGCTGGTATAAATTGGCATAGCTCTGAAGCCAATAGAGACACACTAATTTCCATCAGTGGGGTATCTGACTCGCCTAGACTTTCCACATGCTTTTAGATTTATTGATTCCAGTCAGGTCTGGGAGATGAATTATCAATGTGCCACCAGAAAGACTGTTTGTATGATATATTCATCTAGACTGGAAACCAGGAGGTCTGGAAATCTCCCAAGAAATCATGTTCTTGTGAGATCTGTTGCCCAATTTCCTGAGCCAAGAGGTTTGGACAAGGTTATGTTAAGCATCCAGTCTTTTGGATCTCCTAATATTTTGTGGATCTCCTAATATTTTGTGGCTCATTCACCACTGCTTTACATGCCAGGAATAAACCTAATTTATTTATCTTTTTTATAAAAAGGAAACTTGGACTTCAAATAATACTTTACAAATTAATGCGGCCTGATTGAAGTGGTGCTGAGCAACATCAATTCTCATTGGTTACAGGTGCTCATCTGGGGCTCATGCCTTAAGATGGTGCTAGGTAGCATTCTGTGAGTGCTTATCTCATGTCGGTTAAAGTGATGTGAGAGATTCACTGATTGGAGTCTCCTAAGGAGATTAGAGTTTTCTGAGTTTCACTGGGACTTCGGACTGAAATGGTGGGGATATTTTTCACCATTCCAGCTGAGATAAACAAGCTGTAACTGTTTCTTTTTATTCTTCTCTTTTCAGCCCCGTTCTTTCCAGTGCTTTAGGTTCGGTCTTCAGGAAATGGGACCTTCCTGTTCTCACCCTGCCTTTCAATATTGCTGTGTCTCTTTACTTGGCCACCACTGGGCACTGCAACCTCTTCTTCCCTACAACGCTCATTCAGTGCCCAATATCACCTGGTCTGAGATCAAAGCGCCACTGGTAAGGTCCACTATAGAAAGGAGAAATATTCCACACCCTTGCAAAAGATAAATAGGAGGGCTCTTGCCTCTAGGTAACAGGCTCAAATACAGCCCAGGTTAACAACATCTGAACCTCCTGAGCATCCAACAACTCATTTGAAATGAATCGGTCATCTCTGCCCACTTCTTAAAAGAGGAGTAGCCACTTCACAAAAAACTCCACCAAAATGGCATGATGCCCAATTTTGGTGGTTTCAGGGGAAAGACTAAGGATTCAGACTGACCACGGACTTTGAACTACTCCCTCTACTTAGAGGTGGGCCTCACATGACCAGACCTAAGGCAAGTTGCGGGGACAGCTTGGGGAAGACTTGCACTTCAACTGTGCTTGTCCTGTGGTTGAATAGACACTGTCAGTCGGACACCTTTCACCAGAAGCTGACCCCTATATTTGGGGTCGGGAAGGAATTTTTCCCTGAGTCAGTTTGGCAGAGACTCTGAGAAGTTTTTTCCCTTCCTCTACAGTCTGGGGCATGGGTCACTTGCAGGTTTAAACTAGAGCAAATGGTGGATTCTTTGTAACTTGAAGTCTTTAAACCATGATTTGAGGACTTCAGTCACTCAGCCAGGGGTTAGGGGCCTGTTACAGGACTGGGTGGGCGAGGTCATGTGGCCTGCATTGTGCAGGCGGTCAGACTAGATGCTGATGATTTTCCTTTCTGAACTAAAAGTCATTGAACAACCAAACAAAAGAAAGAAAAAACATGATCACAAACAAAGAACCTGAAATGCATTAACACTCAGGCATCTTTATACCACTCTGGCCATGTAAAGGGATGGAAAAGTTGGGAGTAAACTAAATTTCCACTGTCAAAGTGGCATAAACGGGCCTTAGTGTAAATGCCATAATGTTCTAGGCAGGAATTCTAGGGGTTTACAGACTCAGATTGAAGGGGAGTAAACCAGATTGAATTTTGAGTTGATTTATATTAAGGTGAATCAACACTCTCATTATTTGCCATTCTTCATGGTTTAGACTCAGAAGTTCATGGGCCTTCTGCTTATTAAATGAAAAGGATTTTACATCTATCCCTCCAGGCCCACAAAGAACAATTCCAGGCCCCAGGGCCATCCCTAGCGGGGTGCGGGGCCTGGGGCGGAAATGACAAATCCGTCACTTCTGGGACCAACCGTGTTGGCCAATCGCACCGGCCCGCAGGATACCCCAAAGCACGGGGCACAGAGCAGTCACCACCACACAAGCGCCTAGGAGCCCTGCGGCCCACCCAGGTGATTTTAAAGGGAATGGGGACACCCGGCTGCCCAGCTGCCATGGTAGCAGCGGCCGGGGCTCCTTGAGCCCTTTTAAATCACCCAGGCCCCTTGGCAGTAGCCGCCCTTTGCCCTCCCCTCCCATCGGCAGGCATGTATCCTTCACTTCTTGCATGTGTCTGCTTTAGTGTTCTGGAGTCACAGGTAAAAATGCTCCCTGGCTTTCTCTGTGCAGGGTGTATTTGTGATCCAGGATTCCAGAAGATATTAGGGGGAGTTAGTAAAGCTATGCTGACTCAGTAGATGCGTGATGAAACTCTGGGTATTTTTTCCATTTTTTTTTTTCAAATTTGCCAGTTTTATTTAATTAAAAGTCTGAGGAATTATTACAGTATCTAGCACCATGCTCCAGATTCTAGAAGGACACCGAACATACATACCTGGGAGGAAACCCACATTCTGTAGAAGGAGCTATGATATTCTGGGGTGCAATCCAGACCAGTAAGAGGCTGTGTCACCCCTGCCCTGCAAACTCAGGTGCCTCACAATGCTTTGCTGCTCTGGCTCCCAGCTGAGCCCCTCCCAAACAGCCTGCCAGCATGCAGGTTACACCCTGAGTGTCTGTGTACTGCTTCAGCCTGCCAGCCACATATCAGTCACACACTGGCTTTCACCATCCTTGGTTACCACTTGCCGGATGACCCCCAGCACACTCACAGTCCTAGATTTCCCCCCAAAACATGTGTTCTATACTGTCTAGCTATCACCTGGACAGTCCAGACATATTACCTCTGTAGCCCCTATAAGGGGATCAATATACAACAGTCCGCTACCATAAATGAAGTTACCCAAACAATTCACAACACTGGATTGGTTTTAATTGAAGAATAAAACGCATTTATTTAACTACAAGGAGATAGGTTTTACATAAGGACAAGTATAAGGCACTAAAGTCAGAAATGGTGATGAGAAATAAAGATAAAACACTTCCTAGCACTAAACTTAACAAACAAGACTTGGTTCAAGGTGAGATCTCATACCACATGTTTCCAGTAATATTGGCTAGCATCTGCTCCCAAAGTCCAACATCGGTGTCTTTTCTCTTCTTAGGTCAAAAGGAGAGAGATGTATAGGGAGAGATAACTGGAGATGGTTTTTCCCATCACTTTTATTGGTCAGTCACCCTTTGAGATGCAATTTCCTGGGGCTTCCCTCTAGGTAAAGTTCATTCCCACTCTGAGGTTGGAGTCAAAGAGTATGGAGGTGAAAGGGATTCCATGCTGTTGTTTGCTAAGATGCAAATCTCTTTGTTCTTGCCCCCCTTTCCTTGCCAAAGAATGGTCACTTAACATGGGATTGCCTATCAACTTTGAAGATACCTGAGTAGCGGCATCAGCTTGCCCTTTGTCTTTGAGAAACAGGTTTATCCACTCCCCAGCTTGTCTGGTAAACCTGTTCAAACCTATTTCAGTCATGAGTTCAGCTAATGTTAATAACTTTACATATAATGTTGCTACACACATTTCACCATGATATTATTGACCAGCAAGTTATTCATTTTCAAATGATACCTCACAAGGCATATTTTGTACAGATATTATTACAAAGCTGTATAGGATGTGAATACAGGGGTATGTTCCATCACAGGAGCATGCATTGAAAATTATCTGTGACAATTCTGGTTGTTCCTTAAAATGAAAGAGATTCCAGTCTATAGGCTATCCATGGTTATGAGCTATAGGGAGGCATTCTGAGGCAAGGATGACTGGTCAGTTGGCGTGGCCTGCATGTTTATAGGGATACTCCTCAAGAACTGGTCTTTTTCCATGCACAAGGAGTGGGACTAGTTTGCAGAAAGAATCGTCCCAGGGAACTGTGTTACAGTTGCTGATGACTAGACCATGGGGTACGTTATCACTGGTTTTGCAGAATATGTCCACTACAGCTGGTTGGAAAATGTTTGTCAGCATATCTTTTCAACAAAAATTGCCCTTTTCATCTAAATAAAAACACTTAGAAAAATGTTTCTGATTTTTGATGAACATTCCCAGAGGGAAAAAAGCTATTTAAAAATGAAGACATTCATTTCTGAACATTCATGTTTGGGGGATTGTTCCAAAATTTCATTTCAGATTTTATTTAATTTTTCTATTTTTATATTATTTGTACATTACTTCACAACGTGTAGCATGCACTAGTACTAATGAAATGTCGTAATAGGATATCATATAATAGTTGAAAAAGTCTGTTTTCATTTTATTTTATTTTTAAAATTACTAAGGGCAGCTGCTACTTAGTACTGCCTGAAACACCTTATGCTCTTTTCTAGGGTGAAGTGTCTCCTGTTTGTGATATAATGCCACAGTCTGACACTTTGACTCCTTGCTTTCTAACAAACGGACACTGAAGTAATTGCCATTTTGCCTTGATTATAATAATGTGTCCTTTTCAAACCAATGCCGCAGCTGCTACAATCCATTCCAGTCGGCATTGGTCAGGTGTATGGCTGTGATAATCCCTGGACTGGTGGCATCTTCCTGGTTGCTTTACTCATCTCCTCTCCACTCATTTGCTTGCATGCTGCAATCGGATCAGCAGTGGGGATGCTGGCAGGTACTAACCAATGACCATGACTTACCAAGGTTATTTTTTTCAGAGTAACAGCCGTGTTAGTCTGTATTCGCAAAAAGAAAAGGAGGACTTGTGGCACCTTAGAGACTAACCAATTTATTTGAGCATAATGAAAGCTTATGCTCAAATAAATTGGTTAGTCTCTAAGGTGCCACAAGTACTCCTTTTCTTTTTTCAAGGTTATTTTTGTAATTTATAACATTTACCAGTACCTTGACTGCAGTTATTACATAGTTCTGTCCAACACTTTGTGGCTTCTGCTTGCATGGGTCTGGACATGGTTTTGATTTGCAGTCAAATCCTTGAGCTTGGATCTCAATTTTGGGTTTTATTCAAACCCAATATGGTGAAGGCAAAACTCGGAACAAAAGTGTAGAGTTCTGAAAAAGCTCTGGTCGTTGCAAGTTTTTGTGTTCTACCAAGGAGACCTGCTGTAGCTCTATGACTAGTTGTCACTAGTTATGTTCTGAAACCAAGACTCATTCACTATGCCCATCTTGGAAAATTTGTACCCATCCAGAGATGGCAGTAAGTTTTGTGTTGTGCTTTGGACCCATAAGTGTTTTGCAAAAGACTCAGGCCATTTTCTTTCCATATTTCATCTGGTTTGGGATGGTTGCTACATTTTGCACAGGTCTAGTATTTAATGCAAATAACTGAGCAGGTTTTCCTACAGGGGAAAGTGAGGAGAGGAAGGGGTGGGAGAAGGGGAATCATAAACAAGAAAGCGAATGGAGGAGTCACAGTGGGAAATGGATTAGTCCAAACAAATGGTGATATGAGCGTCCAAGTTCAAGTTATCAGAGCTGGTAATGTCTCAGGGTGGCCTGGTCTCCGGAGGTTGTGCTTCCCTGTTTGCTGGTGATGCTGAGGCCAGTGAGAAATCTCCAATGAGCTCTTGTAAGGCCAGCCCAGGAAAAGACCCTGAGTTACTGTCCTGCTGGTGAAAGCCCACATAGGTGGAGACTGACGGGGTCCCAGCATCCCTGGCAGCTTGGGACCATGGGAGATCAGCTAGGAGATCCTGCTTACTTCCCTGCTGCTGCCTTGGCTACTATTGTGCCAGGACTGGTTAATTTTCTTGAGCCAGAACACCCATTGAGCTTAGAAAGAGTTTTGCCTGAGTGAGAACTTTAGGACTGGTCCAAATTCTGGGCTTTATTACATCATCATAAATATGGAATAAGTATAGCCATTGACTTCAGCCTGTTTCCTCCATATTAGCAATGGTGTGACTGAGAACACAGTTATATTTTAGTGCAGATGTAATGGGAAAATAATTCTGTGTTGATGCCAAGGAATTTGTGAAGAATAATATCTGATAGCTAAAACTTGGCTATAGCTAGATATCATAAACTGTGTCTTTTGCCTTACAGCGCTGACCATTGCAACACCATTTGACAGGGTCTACTTTGGCTTGGGGAGTTACAACCGTGTGCTTGCTAGCATTGCAATCGGAGGCATGTTCTATGCTCTTACCTGGCAGACACACTTCCTGGCACTTGCCTGTGGTATGTATCCTACAGGATGTGGAAAGCAGAAATCCAAAGCATGCAAAATAACAGTGGGAATTCTGCAGATTTAGTGTCATTTGTGGCCGTGCTGGCAAAAGCGTGCGCATCCACTGCTCTTGTATAGTCTTCATTGTGCCTTTGTTCTTTTCACAGCATTATTTTGTGCCTATGCTGGAGCAGCCCTTGCTAACATCCTGTCTGTGGTAAGTTTATATGTATTTTGGGTTTGTCATAATATCAGAACACAGAAAATTTTGTATTACAGCAATGACAGTTTTGACAGCAATGGAGTAAGAATTCTGCAGTCCAGTGGGGTTTATTGTATAGATTCTGTCTGGTATATTGTGAGATTATAGATGCTACTGCTGAGAGTAAGTGTTCAGAGAACTTCAAACCACGCTATCCTCTGTGTGTACTTGTGTATATAGTTGAATTCCAACAACCATTTCTGGAATAAGATACAACTTTTTTCTACCCTTCCCTTTTCAGTTGCCCATAACTTTCCCAGATAAACTCCTTTTGGCTGGTATTTTCTTTATTTGTTCCCCATTTTTCCTTGCTTTGTCTCAATCCAATCATTTTTTGTTTAAAGTTTGTTGCAGCCATTTTTGGGGATTGTTAATGTGGAGAAAGAATATCTTTTCTTAAATGGTAAAAATATAAAATGTATGCCCATATAACTCAAAAATAGTTGAAACTAGAACCATCAAACTGTGCTTGTTTTTTAGATCTCACTTGGGGGATCAAAACTAAAGCCAAGTTTGAAGACAATAGGTTTGGTAGCTTTAAATATATGAATGTTTAAAGACAGCAATTTCATATACACATATTAAAATGTACCCATCTGATTTCTTTGTTAACGCATTGTGTCTAGAGTGGTTTAGAGCAGAAAGCCTGTATAAATAGGATGCCTCTGTTACATACACCTGAATTAAGGATGCATCAGGAAAAGGATGGTTGGACCTGGTGTCCTCATTTTTAGAAGAATGCAGTTGGAGAGTCACAAGAACCCAAGAGTAATCTTGGTCAGATACATTTTTGCACCAATTTAATTTTAGACTTTTAGGGTCCTACTGGAACTTGCTCCCTTTTTTCCCTTGTAACCTTGCCGGCTTTGCATTGCTATCTGTGTTGCCAGCAAGGGGTAGGGATATGAGTGTGTTTGGGGGGAATATAGGGGAGGAGAGATGAGGAATCCCAAAGTGCATCATAATCGTCAAAACTGTTCTTTGAGAAAGTACATTCTTCTCAGGCTTCTGACTTAAAGCTGGCGAGTTAAGCAAAGGGAATAATAAAAATGTGATATAAAATTCTGTCAACACATTCTTTTTCCCCCACCCAGATTGGATTACCAGCCTGCACCTGGCCTTTCTGCTTCTCAGCACTTCTCTTTTTGCTACTAACTACAAATAACTCTGCAATCTACAAGCTGCCACTCTGCAAAGTCACTTATCCAGAAGCCAACCGAGTCTATTACCTGAGAATGAAAAGAAGAGAGCAGAAACCCACTGGTGATTAGCCAATACAAATGGGAGACAATTTGTGATCCCCAATGTAGCTGCACATATTGATCTCAAAAGCACATGAATTAGAAGTTTCAGTACTATCTGTCAAACACACACACATGTCAGCAATTCATGTCTTCAACAACTATGTGTTGTTCTATGAGGGCTGAGTTTATATATATATCATATTTTGGAGGAAATGTTTGTTCATGATCTAAGCTTCATAAAATGCATTCAGGTAACATAATGGGTGTCTTACAGATGTATATGATACTAATTTGAAACAAATTATTATTATTAATAATAATAATAATATTGTAGGAGTTGACTTGTATTTTACATTTGCATGGTAGCACAAGAAGGACCCAAACCAGACTAGGATTTTTGGATGCTGCCATAATATAACAATAATACTGTGAGAAGAACCTTGTAATGATCAGTGGTTAAAATCAAGAAGTAGTATGTTAGTAATGCAACAGAAAGACTGACTGATTTACTCTTTTGGCATCACATAAATCTTGTCTAAGCCCTCAAATCCCATAATTAAATCCATAGTATAAATTGTTAAAATACTTATTGAATTCATCATCTTTCTCTGTAGTCTGCTGTCTTTTCCTTATTTTACATTGCAATTAAGATATTCATATTTTCCCTCTATCATCAGACTAGGGAAATGGCTTACTTATAATTGTGTTGGCCATTAACACCATCTTCTCAATCATACAAACAGAAAAATAACAATCCCCAACGAAAAACACAAAAGTATGTGTCCATCTTACCTATGTTATACCATTCATCCAGCTGGGAGCAGCAGAAGGAAGAATGGGGACTTGGAGGAAGACTGCGACAAAAGCAGTTACTGTTATATCTTTTCTCTCCATTGTCCTATCAGGACAACCCCTCTAAAACAGAAGTAATGAACAAATAGCCAAGTCAAAGATTCCCATTGGATTGGTCCCCACCCTATTTATCCAGATGAAGCGCTGGACTTAATGCCAGTTGTGGGACATTCTCTGGGCCTGGCTCTCTGTTGCATTGCCCCTTAGGGTGGTTATTTACGTGAGTGCAAAATGAGTGGAGAAGAGAACTGGTCGGGAATTTTTCAACACAACATTTTTTGTCGGAAAAAGCCAATTAATCAGAACCAAAACTTATTGCAGAAAAGGGGTCTGTTTCGATACATTTTTTTCAACTCAAAAATTTTGAGAAGTAAAGTTCTGAAACTGTCAGAATGTTTTGTTTCAACATTGTAAAGAATTCCAATGTTCTGGTTCAAAGTGACTCTTTATTTCAAAATGCACACTGATCGTAGTAAAAAAAAAAATTTTAACGGTCAAAATTAAAATGTTTTGAAATTATGAAAAAATGTTTCACGTGACCAAAAATATTTGGGGGTGGGGAGGGATTTTCAGTTAATGAAATTTTGAGATTTCGACTTTTTGTTCTGATTCATGAAGGGACAATTGTCATTATCCTGAAAATGTTCACAGGATAGGAAAACCATTCCCCTCCCAGCTCTTGTCAAGAACTCTACCAAAACAGAACGGCAGCATTTTGCACAAGGTTTGCCCTCTATTGTCTAAAAAAGCCTTTGTGCCAAGCATAAACATAGACCCAAGCGGGCTTAAGTACTAAAATCAGATCCTACAAGATAAAGCTTCACCTAAAAACTGAAGGAACATAAGGCTTAAGTGAAATGAAGAAGCAGAGAATGAGATGATCTCGTACATCTCCAAACATCCTTGAAGACAAGGCAAAAGAAGAAAAATCCCAGAAGGTTTCTGACAGTGTTAATCAAAACTCTTCTGCCATACTTGGCCAAAGAACAACTGAGACATAGTGGAGCAGACACAACCTGACATGCCTCCCACTGACATGACATTCCCCCTAGCTCATATCCCCTCGTAATTACTCAAACTGAAAACTTAGCCAGCACACAAGGGTTCACATGGCAATAATTGCACGGGCTCTTTAACGTTTGTAAAAGTCCAGACTTCTCGTTTATGTCTCACCTGCAAGGCAGAACCTCCACAGCACAGTACTAATACTGAGCTGGTTCAGTACCAACTCAGCTGGCAGAGTGCCACTGTGACGCTGACGGACCTGGTGCCTGCTCTTGCCACGGCTGTAGGCCTCAGCCGAGCACTGACTAAATCACTGCAGGAAACTAGTCTGTTTCACCCCTGTGTTAGTATGGTTCGGATGAGTATTGGACTGGTAACAATGTGTTTAGTGTTTAGACTTTTTGAAATGCTTGTAAGTTGCTGCAGGCATTAATCTCCTTTATAATATCTTTATCATGAGCTATAAGGTAATATTTAAGTTTGGCTTTATAACTGTAAAAAGTTTGCTGTGAAACTGTGAACCCAGTCAGCAGGGATCATCTCCTGTCCATCCAGAGGGCCTATCAAAACTAAATGGGCTATTGTGGGATATCTCAATGCAAATAATATTAATTGCCCCCTCACACCAGGAAGAGGCTACATGCAAAAGGGCTTTTCCCATCTTCTTGAATTCTGGAAGAAGGAAATAAAACCTTAGATTGGCTACAAGAGCTGTCTTTGGTGTGAGAACTAAGGTACAAATTGATGCTGGATAAGTGACTGATCTGTTGGGACTGTGAGCAACCTGAATATTTTGTGATCTTTGGTGCATGGAATCCAACTATCACTAAGTCCCCCTTGCCTGGGTGGCAAAATAGACTGAAATGCCAAGGGGACTGTCTGTGACTCCATGGCCCACAGTATGCCAACATTTTTATGGCTGACTTAGAACAACAATTCCTCAGCTCTCGTCCCCTAACACCCCTACTCTACTTGCGCTACATTGATGACATCTTCATCATCTGGACCCATGGAAAAGAAACCCTTGAGGAATTCCACCACGATTTCAACAATTTCCATCCCACTATCAACCTAAGCCTGGACCAGTCCACACAAGAGATCCACTTCCTGGACACTACGATGCTAATAAGCGATGGTCACATAAACACCACCCTATACTGGAAACCTGCTGACCGCTGTACTTACCTACATGCCTCCAGCTTTCATCCAGACCACACCACACGATCCATTGTCTACAGCCAAGCTCTACGATACAACCGCATTTGCTCCAACCTCTCAGACAGAGACAAACACCTACAAGATCTCTGTCAAGCGTTCTTACAACTACAATACCCACCTGCTGAAGTGAAGAAACAGATTGACAGAGCCAGAAGACTACCCAGAAGTCACCTACTACAGGACAGGCCCAACAAAGAAAGTAACAGAACGCCACTATCCGTCACCTTCAGCCCCCAATTAAAACCTCTCCCGCGCATCATCAAGGATCTACAACCTATCCTGAAGGACGATCCCTCACTCTCTCAGATCTTGGGAGACAGGCAAGTCCTCACTTACAGAGAACCCCCCAACCTGAAGCAAATACTCACCAGCAACCACACAACAAAAACACTAACCCAGGAACCTACCCTTGCAACAAAGCCCGTTGCCAACTGTATCCACATATCCATTCAAGGGACAACATCATAGGACCTAATCACATCAGCCACACTATCAGAGGCTTGTTCACCTGCACATCTACCAATGTGATATATGCCATCATGTGCCAGCAATGCCCCTTTGCCATGCACATTGGCCTAACCAGACATTCTCTATGCAAAAGAATAAATGGACACAAATCAGACGTCAAGAATTATAACATTCAAAAACCAGTTGGAGAACACTTCAGCCTCCCTGGACACTCAATTACAGACCTAAAAGTCGCAATTATTCAACAAAAAAACTTCAAAACCAGACTCCAACGAGAAACTGCAGAACTGGAATTAATTTGCAAACTGGACACCATTAAATTAGGCTTGAATAAAGACTGGGAGTGGATGAGTCATTACACAAACTAAAAACTATTTCCCCATGCTAATTTTCCCCCTACTGTTACTCACACCTTCTTGTCAACTGTTTGAAATGGGCCATCCTGAGTATCACTACAAAAGTTTTTTTTTTCTCCTGCTGATAATAGCCCACCTTAATTGATGAGTCTCGTTAGAGTTGGTATGGCAACACCCATTTTTTCATGTTGTCTGTGTGTGTGTGTGTATATATATATCTTCCTACTGTATTTTCCACTGCATGCATCCAGTGAAGTGGGTTTTAGCCCACAAAAGCTTATGCTCAAATAAATTTGTTAGTCTCTAAGGTGCCACAAGTCCTCCTCATTCTTCATGGTAAGACTGTTCTAGTGCTTTAGGAGTTCACACTTGTTACTGGGCTGGTGAAATCTAATTACAGAACACACAACCAGCTTGGGGTCTCTGTCCTGCTTCTGGACAGTCTGCCCTGAGGCTGGCACTCCCAGTCGTGAACAACTCCACACAATGTCCCAGCCACATCCTGCAGAAAACTGAGTTTGCCTTAGAAGTCTCCCTTGTGAAATCCTGACAGCCCTGCCTAGCGGCTGAGCTCTGATGAGATCCTGGGCTAGATAGAGCTGCAAGCAGGGAAGCATTTCTCCAAAAAAGGAAAAAGCATATTTGGTGATTTCATCCCCAGTTCTGCAAAGTTGTAAGTAACTTTAAAGAAATGTGTGTCATCTTGTTGAAGTCCATGGAATAATCACCTGTATAACGTGATTTGTGGAGCCAGGGCTTTCAAACTCTTGGCTAAGGGCCTTTTGACCCAAGTATTATCCACATGTTTGTCAGAGACATTCAACTGCCAAAGAGCAGAATGCAGTATTGTTATAGCTGGGTTAGTCGCAGGATATTAGAGAAACTAGGTGGGTGAGTTAATATATTTTATTAGACCAACTTCCATTGGTGAGAGAAGAGCTCTGTGTAAGCCTGAAAGTTGGCCCAATAAAAGATATTACCTCACCCACCTTGTCTCTCTAATATCCTGGGACCAACACGGCTGCAACAACACTGCATACAACGTTAGAAAGAGATTGACAAGTAAGAGATGCACCAGAGGTTACATAGAGGTGACAGCAGTCCTCTTTAACAGTCAGGAAAGTTGATGATTTCCAGGATTTGGACATTATTCGAGCACTTAAATTGAGAGATGTATTTATATGTCTATGAAAGCTGTTAGTTTCCAGTGTTTAAACTGAAATCTACAGCACTGGAAAATTATGTAGTAAAGGAGAGCTTTCTAACAGCAGGGTGTTGGGCATCTCCTGAAAGGCTCAGAGTGCTCTCAGCTCAGTGCCTTGCAAGATTCCCTTATGCATGGAGGAAACCAAAAATGACCAGAATTTCTAGGTCTGTACAGTATGACAGGCACATATTTGATAGCAGCACTGAAGAGCACAAACCTCACTTATCAGAGTGAACTCTGTACGAGATTCACTTAATAAACCAGTGGCATCTCCCTCTCTGTGACTCCAACCCAGCAGAACATTTGTGATTCTTTCCAAGACTCCTGTGCCCTGAAGTGTTCTGGGTCGCCATCCAATGGCAGGCTAGCTGGTTCAGTAAGAAGACTGACCTGCCAGGGAAGTTGTATCCATGTAGAATATAGCATGATGGCTACTATCAGCAAAGCCACCTGAGAACTGGAGAATTCAGTCCTGCGGTGAAAGGAGGCCAGTCTCCATAAAGTCAATGGAATTTCACCAAGGCTGGATATGGCCAATGATGTTTGGATTCAGCCTTTTTCGGCAAATTCCCTTGCCTCCAGGTACGTAGTGGGATCCCAATCTAGAACTCAGATACACACACACACACACACACACACATAGACTACACGGTATGCCGATGACACTAAAAGGTTACTCAGAATGAGAAGAGAAACAGAATGTTATCATTTGTCACATACAAAGCTTCCTACCCAGAGCAGTGCAAGAATCACTCATTAAAAGGTGAAAAGAAGAGAGAATAATAAAAGAGCCTACTGAGAAGGAAAGAGGTCTGAGGAAAGCAAATAAGCCTCTTGAGAAGAAAATCCCAGATAATTGCCTTAAAGACAAAGGACACCACCAGAATCGCTAAGAGGAATTACCTGATTAGAGGAGTAGGAGAATTTAATGAACACCTATTTTAGTAGAGCTTGTTTGGCTATGATGAGAGGTAAGTGTATGATCTTCTATAAAGAGCACATCTCTGGGATGATGTGCTGATTAGCAGTCATTAATGTCTTCATATATAAACACATGCTACTATTGCTCCCCCAGGTCTCCCCATGATCGCCCACCACCAACGCAACGCACCTGTCTCCTGAAGAGCCTTGTATCCCAAGGTGCTTTGCCCCAGGTGAAAAATGCAGCTGTGAACATTTAAAATAAAGCACCAGCAAACCAAGAGGGAAGTTAAGAGCTCTAGGCAAAGGAGGAAAGAAACCGGTCTTCAGCTGAGGTTTGAAAGGCGATGGAGAGATGACGTGGGAAAGAGCTACAAGGAGGAAGTTCCAGGTTTCAGAAGCTAAAGAGAAGGTGATTCTTGCCTCAGGAGTTTCTAAGACAGGATGAGCTCATGCTTCCTTCAGGCGTGAACTAATATAGGCTCAGGCCATCCAGGGATCCAGCACAGAGGGCAACTACAATAGGGAAAGTGATGAAGAAGCTGTTGGGGGTAGAGGGGTGCAAGGCAAGAGTCTGACAAAATGGGCTGGGCTAAAGGCCGAACCATAGGTGAAAGGGGGACGAATCCTTTTGCAGACTGAGGGAAAAGCCAGTCTCAGTCAAACTGGCAGAGGAGTGCATTACAATGGAATTGTGTTCTTCCACCCAGGAGCAGAGAGAAGGGATCATCTCAATTTAGTGCTGCAGACAGAGATGCTTTGAAAATCAAGGGTAGGTTTCCAGCTTAAGTGGCACTTAGGTGCCTGACTTCCACTGAAAGTCTTGTACCCTTGGAAATATACCCCTTGGTTTACACACAGGGGATGCATAACAGCCAGCCCCTGGAGTATGTGTACATGCCTATGGAGTGTAACCCTCCCCTGGGCACGACTCGACCTGCCCCTGAGACACCTGAGGGGCCTCTCTTTTCCCTTGCACTTTGGACACACTTGCACAGCTTGTCATCTCAACAAAGCATCATTGAATTGAACTGGATTGGAATTGTATCTGGCTCTTCCCATTCTCAAAGCACTTGACAAGCATTAACTAGTCAATCCTCATCACACCTCTAGGAGAGAGGGACTCAGACACCCATTCTGCAGAAAATGAGAACTGAGTCAGTGAGGTCAGTGACTTCCCCACAAGGCTAATGAGGGACTGAGTGCAGGAGATGGGACTGAAACTCCACTCCAACCACAAGACCACACCTCTCTTCTGCCTGATTGTTCGTTGCATGTTATTCTTGCTTGCTTCCTCTCATTGCCTCACACTCTAAGGGTTTCCCTACACTTGTACCTTCTGTTCACCTTTTTTAAAATGCCACTTTCTGTAAGAAGTTAATGCAGTTTGATTTAGTTTTCCCTCTGTGCCTTTCCCTCAGCATTAGACAGTCCCAGCAGGCATTTACCTTCTCATGTTGCTTTCTTTTCTTGCCCATCAGATGGCATTATGGTTGAACATTTAATTGCATTGGAAGCCGATGAGTGCCAAGGAGATATCCAGACAAAGCAGAGGAACTTGTTTCAATTCGAACAGCAGTCTACACACTGGCCTGTGCGAAGGAGAAGTAAAGGTTCTGTTCAATCCCTTCCTGTCTTTCCTCTCTCACATGGTCCTGGGCAGCCCTGATAGCAGAGCTTGAGATTTTGCAAGTGTAACCCAGATATTTTCATATTTTTGAGGGGGGTTCATAAAAGGAATTGAGTTTTGCTAGACCTTTTTCCTATCAATTCTGTTAAAACCGTACTTCTCTATGCAAGTGGGAGCCTGGGCTGTCTGAACAATGAAGAAATCCATAGTAACCAGGATCACCTTGCATGCCAAGAGGGAATAGCAAATTTGGGTGAGTTATTGAATGCTCAGTTGAAGATATTTTCAAGGGCCAGGTGCTCAGCACCTTCTGAACATATCAAGTTGTTTTGTCACCGTATTGGTCCCAGGATATTAGAGGGGGAAAAGTGGGTGAGGTAATTAATAATAATATTTACATCACTCACCTTGTGTCTCAGGTTCGGCACCTAAAGCCACTAATTGCTTGAAACTCTTGGTCCTTGGTCCTCATCCAGATGCCTTTGAAATTAGGTGTTTCCAGATTGCTCTGCAAATTCATTTGCCCTGCTACCTTCCTCCTCTTCAGCTTTCTAATGTTCTGTAATGGTCAGGATAACAAAAGTATCCTCATTTTGGGGGTGGGCTTTGTTTACTATTAAAGGTCCCATCACAAACAAGGAGGATTGTTTCAATTTAGACAAAAGAAAAGAGTTTAAACAGGGGACCCGCAGCCTACTCAGCTGTTATTAACTTTGGAGTTCACAGGGGGTCTCTTGCAGCGATACAGATGAAGCGATACACATGTTGCTGCAGCTGGAATTCCAAAACCACATCCTATTGACAGGGTTGGTCCATAGTAATCTTACCCCTGAGAGATTTTCATACACTGATATGAAAGGGTATAGGTGCAGTGGGGAGGAAGTAGAAGCTTCTCCCATCAAGATGTTCCCACTGGACCATCAAGATTCTCAAGTACCTGTGGCTTTTTGTATGAGCTTTTGGAGAGATGAACTCAGATGATTCATCTCTACTAAATTACAGAGACGCACCTAATGCAGAGAGATGTCTGCAACCTGGAAGGAAAATCCCATTTTGATTCTCTCACCTCCTGATATGGCTACAATGCCATGGATACTCCCATAGCTCAGGTACTTTTATGGGGCTCCTACCCCCATGATAGCACTGAGATCCACTTTCTTCACTTACAGAGGTAATGGGGTAGCTTTTCAGAGGGATGAGGCCTGGCCTCCCTCTTTGGTGGGCAAAATTTGTGCTTCTGAACATAGCACCCTCATTTTGTGCAGCTGAGATGGACTGCAAACATGAACACCTGATTCAGACCCCGAGGCAGAGGCACAAGTATTCAGATTTGTGACCACAATTCAGTTGCAGCTGCAAATTGTGCCCACAATCGAGTGGCAGATGGATAATGCAAACATAAAAATATAGGCTGCCATTTTGAATATGTGGCCTAACATGGGGCATTGAGGAGAGGAGAACTTTAAGAAACCCGTAGCCCCAGTTCCAGCCTCCAAGTCCAGTTAATGTATAAATATGGGAGCTCTTCGGTGCCTAGCTATCACACCCAGACTTGGATGTCAGAAAATATCATGAGAAAGTTGGCCCGGATACCAAGATTATCACCTACTGTTTTGAAATATGTCATTAGATCTTTAATCTTCATCAGCATAGTCCCCCAGACACAGGCAGAAAAGATTTCAGTTTAATGTGAATGGAACCCTTAACTGTGGTGACATCTGTTAATAAATCAGCCATATCAACTATGGAGGCTGAACATACATTCTTTGCTCAGCCAGAATGGCTGCTGATATCAGCTCATTTTGTAAGTCCAGAAAGAATTAGCTGGGAAGCCCTTAAAAATACATATAAGATTTATAGAGCTGGTCAGAAATTGCTAATTATTTTCATGGGAAAAGTTTTTAAAATCATTTCCTTTTTAATTTTCCAACAAAAAAATCAATCTTTTGAAGCAACCTTTAAACCAACCCCCCCCCCCCCCCCAATGTTTTCTGTGTTCAAAACCTGGGGGAAAAAGGGTTTTGCTAAATATTTTCAGTTTTTAAAATCCAAAACTTTTTACTGAAACCAGAGCAAAGCTATTTTTCACTTTTTCGCTCTGATTTTTTCACTGAAAAACTAGAAAGTTTCAACCAAACTGAAAGCTTTCTGAAAGAACGTTGACCAGCTCTAAAGATGTAAATGATCCTAGAGATACCCTCTGCTATTTAGGTGCAAAGGTGATTTAAAAGTTAAAGATCAGTGCTATCCTCCCTGGAAAGAGAAATATTTTACAACAACCATCCTGAAGGAAAGTTATAATTGAAATGCTATTGTGGGATATGCCAGAGGTTTAACAAGCAACAATGCACAGCCATCCTGAGTGACTCAGAAGGTGTGCAGCCAATGCACATCCACCATGAGAGGGAGGACTTTGAGGTGCAGTGAGCAAATCTATTTCTTCTGTACCTACAGTGTTTGGAAAAGTTGAACATCCGGATAGACAAAATGAGGATCAGTTTTCCCCTCCACACCACCAACAGGAGAATGAATCAGCTGTAAGTACTGGAGCTATTGCTTTTCCGCTTATTAAATCCAAGTAAAATTAGTGCAGAATTATTGGTGGGGTTTCAGTTTAAAAGATTTAGATTTCATGTAGGCATGAAATCTAAAAAGAAACTGCAAACATTTTTGCTTAAAACAACACTTTTCAATTTCACAAAGCCCTGAGTTACACTGAGCTTTGTTACTCAGTCATTTCAAAGTTTTACATTGTATTGGTACCTTTTCTTCTGACATTTGTACCCCATTTTGACATCAGTGTCATCCCTCTGCCAAGCAGTAGCAGCTGTCCAGGGACTCGGGGGAGGGATAGCTCAGTGGTTTGAGCATTGGCCTGCTAAACCCAGGGTTGTGAGTTCAATCCTTGAGGAGGCCATTTAGGGATCTGGGGCAAAAATTGGGGATTGGTCCTGCTTTGAGCAGGGGGTTGGACTAGATGACCTCCTGAGGTCCCTTCCAACCCTGATATTCTATGATTCTATGACTTGCAGGCCAGCTTCCCAGTGGAGCAGAAATCAGTGAAGTGGGGCCCGAATATAGTCTCAGGCTACGTCTACACTATGAGCTAGGGGTGTGATGCCCAGCTCACATAAACATACTTGTGCTCGTGTAAACCAACAGACCCCAGGCATCGGCAGGCAGGATCGAACCGGGGATCTCTGGAGCTTATTGCATGAGCCTCTACAGCGTGAGTGAAAAGCCAGCTGACTCTTAGCTAAGGCTGTAGAGCAAACTCATTAATCTGTCTCTCTAAGTGGTTTCGGTGCCACTAAACGGGACAGAACCCCACCCCCAGGAGTGTGTGGGTTACACTTGCTCAAGTATAAATAATAGTATACCCGTGTCATCATGCACAGCAGCACCATAGCTTAGCCATGCCAAGTACAAACCCGCCTGGACTACACAGGTAAGCTTCCCCTGCTACCGCGGCTACACTACTGCTTACATGCCTGAGGTGGGAATCACAGCCCTAGCTCATAGTGTAGACACAGCCAAAGTGTAATATACATACCACTCCTAAAATGAGATGGTCAAACAGCATGCAGGGCAATCCCTTCCTCCAGGAATCTCAGCCCAGCACCAATGTCTGGTCCCCAGCAAGCAACTCTGTCTCAAGGATTGACTCCAGTCACAGAGAGCAAACTCTCTTGTTGCTCACACAGCTGCCCCTCTCCTGAAGATGCCTCTAAACCTAACCTTGCATAACCTGAAACTACCACAGTAGTTTCATAAGCCAAAACTTGCTCACACGCTAAGAAAAAGAACGTGCACGACTCTATATGTCAGCACCCCCTGATGACTCCTGCCGTAATAATATTTAAAAATAAATTTAAATAAATTTAAAAAATATCAGTGGCTTTGAAAACAAAACAGCTTGCCTTTGGAGAACTGTAGTAACATTCTCTCCTTTCCTGAAGAAGGATCTGAAGGGCAATATGGCTCCTGAAACCAAAATCACTGAAGAGAAAAGCACTAACAATCAGAACGGAGGGACAACAGGCGTGAAAAGCATCAGCAGAGCTGTGTCCTATATCATGGGAGGAACAAACATGTCTGGAGATGGATCTAAAGGTAAAGCAATTGCCAGTCACAAGTATTGACTAAACAGTGTGGCCAATTGTTTGCCTACACTTGTGGTTCATTCTTAAAAATGTTCAAGAGACCAAATAAGTGCCAAATTTACTGTCTAAAGACAAAACAGTATAACATGAAAAGGAGATATACATACCCTCCTGCCAGGTAGCAAATTTTCACGGCATGTTCAGAAAGTGTGCTTCAAAGATACGCGTTTCAGCTAGTAGTATTTATAGTATGGCTTTACAAGTTACCAACCTCTTTACACATCACTTGAACTTTAAGTTTAACCCACTAGTTTTGCCAGCTTGGTACCTCCCTATACTTTCCCATCCCTCATTTGAATGGTATATTCCAAATGTTGATGAGCCATAACAGGGCTCCCTAATTGTGCTTGGTACAAAGTATTCATGAATCTTTACTTTGACAAGTTTCCTATTTTCTAAAGTCAAAACTGACTTCAGCTTTGCAAACTTCTGTGGGCTGTTTGACATGGGTGAACAGAAATTGTGGAAAGAGCATAATGCATTTAATTAATGTAACCTTCCAATACCCATATATGTAAAGTATGTTATATTAATACCATTCACATAGTATCTATGAATGTGTATATTACATCGAACATATATGCATGGGCAAACACAACCATTGTCATTCCAGAGTTGTGGAGTGGTAATTGGTATCTTCTTATTGGCTTGATCATACATGTAGCATGCTCTTAATATGGGGAGATATGTTGGCGCAAGTCTCTAGGGGGAGCACTAGCAGCCTTTGCATCTTAAAGAGTCCTAGAATTGAGACTTACAGGGGAGAATAACTTGCAACACCCTTTTCTGCCTTCAGTGGGAGCCACCTCCACTGGCCAGTGTGTCTAGGGGACAGAGTCATGGCTGCACCTACTCCCTGCCCCTCTCTGCCCAGTTACTCCCAAGGAGAAGCATCTGGAGCACAAATGTAATGCGTTTTGGGGCAGCCCCTGTGGGCTGTGAAAGGCATGGGAGAGGACAATCTTTACCCCTTCCTACAGCCCTGCACAGTCACAATAGCCAGAAGCACAATCTAGTGCTAGACCTACACTAAGGTCCTTTCCTGCTGCTCTTGCTCAAGTTGAGTAGTCCTGTTAGCATCTGCAGTTTGACTTGCATATTTTCATACTCCTCAGCCTGAATAATGATGGTATTATGGGGTCCTAAGTGGCCCGATTTGCCAACAATCAAGCATGCAGTTTGAGTGCACAAGATCACCCATGCAAGTGCATGCCTAGTTGGTGTTGCCATGTCTGTGACTGCTCCCCTTAAAACACAGACCTGTCCATTTGTGCAGACAGATAACTGATTTGCATACACACACAGTCATGGTAATTGAGCATGGTAGCCTCCCATATCATAGCCCAGAGAGGTAGACCCTCCATGAATCTTATACAGCTTCTGAGGATCTGTGACTGTCACTGCACGTGTGCCTGTGTTGGCTCTTTGGGTCTTACATGCCTCTAGCATCTGAGCATCTAGCAAGTCTACACGACAAAATTCAGGTGACCTAAGTTACGTCGATGTACAGCCACCGCAGTAATTGAATTGGTTGTACATGTCCATGCAACGCGCCTTGTGTCAGCGGTGCGAATCCTCACCAGGGGCCCTTGCACTGATTTAACTGCCAGTGTGGGGCATTGTGGGACGGTTTCTGAAAGGCAGCAACAGTTGATGTAAGCAACGCAGTGTCTACACTGACCCTGTGTCGACCTAACTACATCGACTTAAGGCTATGCCTCTCATGGAGGTGAAGTTATTAAGTCAGTGTAGTGGGCAAGTCACATCGATGGTAGCTACATTTTAGTATAGACGCCTACAGAGTTAGGTCGACGTAAGCTGCCTTTTGTCGACCTAACTCTGTAGTGTAGACCACCCTGATACATTTCCTTCCTTTTTTCATTGCAAAAGTGTAAATGGATGAGTAAGACTCTCACCACCATCTGCTATGCAACTTTTGGGGCATCACAAAATAAGCCAGTTTGTACAAGTATATCCCAGTGTGCTTTATAATAGGGAACTCTGCCAAGTACATTCTGGAGCAGTTAGCTTTTCCCATGCCAAATCTAACAGTTGTCCTAGAATGTGATAAATCTGAGATGGCTTTTCCAGTCTGGCTGATACATTGTCCCAGTTCTACTGTAATTGCTTAGGGCATTTGAAAAAAAGCAGAATCCCAGGATTGTTTGCATCATTTACTTAGCTTGTAAGCTCTTTGGGGCAGGGATCATCTTTTCATTGGGTTTGTTGTCCCTAGAGACTTAACCCGTAGATGTGTGTACAGCACCTCGAATAGCGTGGTCCCAATCCTGACTCGATGCCTAGATGCTAAGAGGGCCAAAGAAAATTCCTTACAGTGAGGGAATTGAAGAGAGCCATCTGTTTAGCTTATCAAAAAAGAATGAGAGGCTACTTGCTGATTACCAGCTATTACCAGCAGGATAGTTAGTTTATGTGTGTGTTTTTTGGAGGGGGGTGAGGGGGTGAGAGAACCTGGATTTGTGCAGGAAATGGCCCAACTTGATTATCATGCACATTGTGTAGAGAGTTGTCACTTTGGATGGGCTATTACCAGCAGGAGAGTGAATTTGTGTGGGGTGGAGGGTGAGAAAACCTGGATTTGTGCTGGAAATGGCCCAACCTGATGATCACTTTAGATAAGCTATTACCAGCAGGACAGTGGGGTGGGAGGAGGTATTGTTTCATATTCTCTGTGTGTATATAAAGTCTGCTGCAGTTTCCACGGTACGCATCCGATGAAGTGAGCTGTAGCTCACGAAAGCTCATGCTCAAATAACTTGGTTAGTCTCTAAGGTGCCACAAGTCCTCCTTTTCTTTTTGCGAATACAGACTAACACGGCTGTTCCTCTGATACTTGCTGATGGTGTCCTTCATAGGGAGAAAATACTGTGCTCTTAAGAGCTCTTTCAACTAACAGAGAAGGGCAAAACAAGAACCAAAAGCTGGAAGCAGAAGCCAGACAAATTCAAATTAGAAATGAGATGCAGGTTTTTAACAGTGAGGATGATTAGCCATTGGAACAACTTGCCAAGGGAATGACGGCCTCTCCATCTCTTGATGTCCTTAAGTCAAGACTGGATGCCTTTCTGGAAGATGCTTGAGTGAAACATGTTGAGCTCAGTACAGAGGGGTAACTGGATGAAATCTAAAAGTCTGTGAAAGGATGTCAGACTAGATGCTCTAATGCAGTGGCTCTCAACCTTTCCAGACTACTGGACCCCTTTCAAGAATCTGATTTGTCTTGCGTACCCCCAAGTTCCACCTCACTTAAAAACGACTTGCTTACAAAATCAGACACAAAAGTGTCCCAGCACACTGTTACTGAAAAATTGCTTCCTTTCTCATTTGTACCATGTAATTATAAAAATTAATCAATTGGACTATAAATATTGTACTTACATTTCAGTATATAGAGCAGTATAAACAAGCCATTATCTGTATGAAATTTTAGTTTGTACTGACTTCACTAGTGCTTTTTATGTAGCTTGTTGTAAAACTAGGCAAATATCTAGATGAATTGATGTACCCAATGGAAGACCTCTGCATACCCCCAGGGGTACATGTACCCCTGGTTGAGAACCACGGTTTTAATGGTCACTTCTGGCCTTAAATTTCACTTCTGGCCTCCGAATCTATGCTATGGTGATACAAATAAAATAAGAATATCCATCTACCTCTTCATTCTGATGATCTTTCCTCTTTCCAATAAACCTCTAGGGTTTCAATTTATTGACTGGGGGGACATCCCAGGTGATGTGTGTCAATAACCCTCTCAGTGGGTTTATCATTATTGCTGGATTCCTGGTCCAGAATCCCTGGTGGGCGCTCACAAGCTCTTTAGGAACATCTGTCTCAACTTTAGCAGCACTTATTCTGAGTCAGGACAGGTATGTTTATCTCTTGTGGGTTGTTCTTGGTGCTGACCAAATTCACCTTTGAACTATGATTACTTTGGCACGAACATTCTTTGACAGTGCTAAGCAGCCAACAGAGTGTTAGCTCAAAGAAACTGCAATAAAGAATAGATATGGACTAAAATGCAAATCACAGAGCTTCTACTCTGTGATTTCCAGCTAAAAAATGACACTTTTTAAAAAAAATGTTTACTTGTTTTGTTGTTTCACACCACTGATTATAAAAATAGAAATAACTTTTAAAACCTGATTTTTTCTTCTCTGTTTATGCTGTTGGTTTCCTTTTTACAGTCTGCTTGGAACATTCCAGCTGGACTGTAATTCCTACTGCATTAGGGAACCCAGTTACCACCAGTTTCCATTGGCATTTTTCAATTTATTTTTGTGGAAACACTTAGGTAGGTCTTGGGTTTTGTTGCTGTAGATATTCTCTGTTAGAAGGACCTCCAGACATGGACAATTGCAAGCAAGCCATGGTTAGATCAAGGTTTTGCTACAAGCCCCAGCTGTTTACCTGTCAGACTCACCACATTGATCATTGCTTTCCACTTCTTCAGACACAGAACTTCCATAAATTACCTTACAGTTCACACACTCTTTCGTGGGGGCTTGAACGGATGTTATTATCTGGACAGCATAATCAGGGTCTTCTAATACATTTTTAAGTGAACATAAAGACTCATCTGTCTCCCACAGATCAGCCATAGAAACAGGACTCCATGGCTATAATGGGACCTTATTGGGATATCTCATGGCTGTGTTTTCTGACAAAGGAGACTATTATTGGTGGCTTCTACTGCCTGTAGTTGTTACATCCATGGCATGGTAAGTTGCTCTTCATTTTTTTTTAATGTGCAATCCTAAATATTTTATATTCTTAGATTGACTTTTTTTCTTTTACTGACCCATCAGTTATCTACTGTATCTTACTTGCATTTTTAATTAGTACAACTTGAAACAAAACTGTATTTACAGCTGGACAAATAAAGCTAAATATTTCTGCTAATGCTTGTTTGCTTTTTTAAACTTCAGCCATGTTTGCGCTCTTTTTCAGTTCACTTTCTCCGGAGGTGAACATGAAAGGCAGTAAGACTCTTCTTAGGTCCTCCCGCAATCTAAAATCTTCCCACGTAAGATGTCAAAATATGACTCCACTTACAGTAGCTTGTGAAGATGTTCAGTATATAATCATATGTCCTCTGTGGGGTTTCACTAGGTATTGTGGGCTTAGTAGAGCTTGGCCCTTAGTAGAGCTTGGGTGGCCCACTGGATTTCTCGAAAGTAAGTGGTGCGTAGATGCCACATCCAGTAGATTTTACAGATCTTCACAATATGATCAGCACTTTCCTTTCTTGAGAGGATTGTTCAACAGTGAATAGTTAACTAGGTGACATTGAAATTATTACCATTAGACTTCTTGCTCTTATATTAATGGAATGTAACTGACCAAGGATCCAGCCATTAGCCACACCCAAACCCTGGATCTGAATGACCCAGAAGTAGGGGCAAGTTCTGGATCTGAACTTTACAGCTTGGGTCCATCTCTCTTTGTTTGCACAAGCTTACATTTGTGGATTCAGTGCTATTCCCGATGAAGTCAATGACACAACTCCCATTGACTTCAGCAGAAGCAAGATCATCCCAGTATGCTTGTAGAAAATGAATGGACATTATAGCTAGTTAATTTGGGGATAAGGGCCAAATTCTCAAAGGTATTTAGGCATCTACATCCCATTGGGACTTAGATGCCTAAATATGTTTAAGGATCTGTGCCAAAGTACCATACTTTCTGCTGTTTTGCTTACTGCTAGAGGCTGACTCGATTGGTGTAAGTGACCCCCTGCAATACCAGTCACTTATAAGTACAGGGAAGACTGTTTGTGTTCACCCTAATCATTGTAAACCCTAAAGATAAAAGGAGGACGCAGAAAGCAACCCATAGGTAACAGATGCCATCACAAGAGATGGACGGAGATAAATCTACGAAGAGATTGTTCTCCTTTTGGGTTCAGCCAGTTTCAGGTGAAGATGTTTTCCACCACCCTCACTGGTATGTAGAATTTATTACTGCTGTCTGAAAGATCTTGTTCTTCTCTTTTCAGCCCCGTTCTTTCCGGTGCTTTAGGCTCAGTCTTTAGTAAATGGGATCTTCCTGTTCTCACCCTGCCTTTCAATATTGCCATGTCTCTTTACTTGGCTGCCACTGGATACTATAACCTCTTCTTCCCTATCACTCTCATTCAGCCTGTAACATCAGTGCTGAACATCACCTGGTCTGAAATCGAAGTGCCACTGGTAAGGTCCACTAAAGGCAGAATCATTCCACTCCATTGCACATAGTCTCTGGGAAAGAAGGGTATTAAATTCTGCATAATCCCAAAACATGGAGCACAGAACTACATAAAAGGGAATTGGAATGGATTTGGCTGGTGCCAAGGAAAGTGCCAAACTGGTAGCAAAGCAAACTGATGTCTAATATTTATCCACAGAACAGGTGTAGAGGATGGTCAGTGTGACAGACTTCTTTATTACTGTGCCGCAGCACTGAATCACTCCCAAAATTGGAACAAAACCAGAAAAAAATTGAAATTCCCTACGAAAGGACATTTAAAAAAATCCATTTATAATGTAACATAAAATAAAATTTAAAACCAAAAAGTCGTTTCAAAACAAAAATTAAAACATTCCATTCCAATAAAGGGAAAGTTTCAATCTTATCAGAATGCTTGTTCCCCCTACCCACTCTCAATTTTTTCCAAAATGAAATTTCATTGAAATTGACATATTCCTAGGGGAAATTTTCATTTTTGGAGAACAGCATTTTCCAGCAGACAATCTACTCTCAGAAGATTTCCAACTAGATCTAATAAAATATCATGCTACATCCCCTGTGGTTACAACCCTGTCATTAACTCTGGCATGTCATTTTTTGTATTTGATTTTGCAGTTGCTAAAATCCATTCTGGTGGGAATCGGTCAGGTGTTTGGTAGTGACAGTCCCTGGAGTGGTGGCATTTTTCTGCTCACTGTGTTCATAGCATCACCGCTCGTCTGCGTATACACTGCAGTTGGGTCAGCAGTGAGCATGCTGGCAGGTATGCAGTTTATCCCACTGAGTACCTGGTCCTACACCTTCAGAACTTTTTTTTTAAGTCATCCTATAAATCTACCAGCCTGTTTTAACCAGTGTTATACCAATAAAATAGAAAGCAGCAGGATCTTATTAAAGGGGATAAGACAAAATGTCAAATTTATTGTGAGTATAGAAAGAATCATAGTAGGCAGTCAGTTATAGCTATAACATTTCATTCAGTTTCACATTCATTCACACAGTCATTCATACACACACACAGGTTCTGCAAATTTGTTATAGTTACCAGCCTAGAGGTTGCTCATGCCAAGTTACTGGCCAGGTAACTTGGGCATGAGGGTGGAGCCGAGTCTTTGACAGATGTGCATCCGATGCTCCTGGAGAACCAGACTCAAAGTTCTCAGTTTCTAGAGTCCATTTTTATAGGAATTTATTCCTATGCCAGTCTATGGGAATTGCTTCATTATGCTGTTGCTGAATCAATCAGCAGATGGCACGTTCCTGAGTGCTCCGTGCCGCCAGATGTTATCTTGTTCTTTGGATCTCCCATCCTTGAGGCTGTTGGGTGGACTCCAGTCTCCCCTCCGGGGGTCATCCAGTTGTCTCCACTCTGCGCATTCTTCAGCTGATGGACACTGCATTCTTAGGCTGGCACCTCCCTGATCATTCATCTATTATTATCTACACCAAGCATCCATCCACATACATCCTCTATCTCTATTTTAATCACAATTGTTAACAAAGCGAGATAAATACAATGAAAGGGTGGGGAGTGTCTGTGTGCTGTTTCTGTTGTTACAAAGTATCGCTTTGAGTCTCTCTCTGTCTTAGCATGTACTAACACAAGTAGCAGCTTGCAAGTTTCAACACAGAGAGGGAGAGAAACAGTAACAAAAAATGGTTTCAGAGTAGCAGCCGTGTTAGTCTGTATCCCTAAAAAGAACAGGAGTACTTGTGGCAGCTTAGAGACTAACAAATTTATTTGAGCATAAGCTTTCGTGAGCTACAGCTCACTTCATCGGATGCATGCAGTGGAAAATACAATGGGGAGATTTTATATACACAGAAAACATGAAACAATGGGTGTTACCATACAGGTGAGCTATTACCAGCAGGAGAGCCGGGGGGGGGGTGAGGGGGGCCTTTTGAAGTGATAATCAAGGTGGGCCATTTCCAGCACTTTACAAGAACTGTGGGAGGGGAAATAAACAAGGGGAAATAGTTTTACTTTGTGTAATGACACATCCACTCCCAGTCTTTATTCAAGCCTAAATTAATTGTATACAGTTTGCACATTAATTCCAATTCAGTAGTCTCTTGTTGGAGTCTGTTTCTGAAGTTTTTTTGTTGAAGAATTGCCACTTTTAGGTCTGTAATCGAGTGACCAAAGAGATTGAAATGTTCTCCGACTGGTTTTTGAATGTTATAATGTTATATGGTAATGCCCCTCTGCCATGTACATTGGCCAAACTGGACACTCTCTACATAAAAGAATAAATGGACACAAATCAGACATCAAGAATTATAACATTCAAAAACCAGTCGGAGAACACTTCGACCTCTTTGGTCACTCAGTTACGGACCTAAAAGTGGCAATTCTGCAACAAAAAAACCCCCAGTAGCCATCCTGAATTGCAGCTGTAAACATTAACAATGAACAGCACAGTAACAGACTTAGCTCTTCTGTGGATCAGATGTAGGCAGGGACACATAACACACAGTTAGTGGGTTACACTGGCAAATGAATGTGTAAAGTGAAGGTGGTTAGGAGCACTCTTAGCACTACTGCATATTCCTTCTTAAAAGTCACATCGTCCATGTTGCTAAAATAGGACCCAGCTGCAGCGCATCACAGCCAGGAGCAACCAGTGAGTTTATTTATCCTGAGATCACTGACCTCCTTTGGCTCTGCATACACAGGGAAGGGGAGCTTCTGACTGGGACACTTGGGTGGGGAGCAAGGACTTGGGAAACGGAGACTCAGTTCAGTAAACAGTCTGTGTTTTCCAGGTACAGATGAGCTGTGATCACTGAATAGCAGATAGCTGCACAGCAGCAATGTTCAGAGTTCATATGCCTGGAATAAGAGGCAGCCGCCCCTGTGATTGGGCAGGTAGATAACAACAGGAAGTGAATGGGGAGCCTGTGTCCTAATGCAGCCATGGGTGGATTTTAGGGGAGGGGACAGAATGGAATAACTGAAGGAGGGTTTTAGCTAGGAGACCAGGGTTCACACCCCACCTCTGAGAGAAAGTGCTGAGGGATCTTTTATGACAATGTGGGACCAGTGAGTTGGTTATGTCTAAAAGGCAGGGGCCCCAATGTTGCAAAAACAGTTGCTTGTGCACACGCTTATACCAGCATGGAAGCCCACTGACTACATGATCTGACCCAGGGCTTGGCTCACTCTTACCTTATAATTTGCATAGATGATGACTCCTGCGCTTCCCAGATCAAATATCTCCCTCTGCTCACAGCCTTTTACACTCACTTTGCCCTGGGGCAAATCTCCAACCTCTTACTAGAGTTCTGTATAAAAGACAGGCGTATATATAGGCATACATGGTAGATAGCTAATGTAAAAAGTGCTGTCTACCAGCATGGAAGATAAAGTAACATTGCTCATAAATTTGTAGGTTCAATAAAGCCATTATTATTGCACACTGTGAAAGGGTTCCTGATTAATGCCACATGCAAGTGGCATGGGGAAGCTCAGGTCTTTGGTGCTCAGAAAACCTGTGATCAGCAGAAATGCTTCCTTGGAACGAATGGAAAAATTACAAACATCAGCCACAACTCTCCCTTTTCCCTACCCAATGATGATAAAACAATTAACAGTTGGTTTTTAAAATCCTCCTGTTTGCAACCCATATGTTGCAGCACTCTGTTCTATTGTATTTTGTGTAGGTTTTTATACCACCCTTACCACTGTAATATCTGCACACCTTCCAGTAGTGCATTAAGTAACATGGCTAATATCTCACATGATTCAGCTCTCCCTGCCTCCCTCCCCCCAGGGGGGGGAGGGGTGTTGGAGAATTGTGTGTGAAGTGCAGTTTTGTTTTGTAAATGTCCACACTGATCTGCATTGATGTTAGAGAAGGCTGGTCAAAGAACTACACCTTCAGATTTTAAGCTGGTGATGTTGGAGATGGAATTCATGATTGTCCTGAGCTCCTATGCTCATATTTAAGAAGCAGAAAGTGAAACTGATCATCAGTCTATTTTAATTACCCTTTGCAACACGTAGTGCAAGGAGTAAACAAGCTGCAGAAAGGGTGGCAGGGCATTGGAAGTCTGAATTATTTGAATGTCAGCACTAGTAACAAAGAGAAAGAAACCAGTGATGTTAATAACGAGTGATTTTTTTAATGCGAGTTTCCCTTGATGTGTCTCCCTTGATTTATAGGCTTGACTGCTGCAGCGCCCTTTGCTGGGATCTACTCTGGCTTTTGGGGCTACAACAGTGTCCTCGCCTGCATTGCAATAGGAGGCACATTCTACGCTCCCACATGGCACACCCACTTGCTAGCAGTTGCCGGCGGCATGCCTGCTACCATCCTTCGTTTTAAATGCACCCAGGCCTTGTGAAAGATGCTAGATGTGCAATCCCAGAGAATGATTGATTAGCTTGGGCTAAAATATTCCATTTGGGCACCAGCCCATGTTTTTCAGGGAGAGGGCAGATCCACACGCTGAAAAGGGACCTCAGGGAGAGACCGTGCCTCAGGGAAGTTCAATCTCATCCCAAGCCTCCCACTGCACTGGTGCATGTGCACAGCTGCCCGCTCCCACGGCATGCCCAGCATGCTCCATGGGTAGTCCTGGTCAGAAAATAGGGGTTTTCCTCAGAAAATGATGACCTTTCAGCTAAATATAAAAAAAATATATATATATTCTGACTGAAAACTGAAATATTTTAATTCAAAATGGCACCACCATGCCCCATGGGAGTTGTAGTTTAGATGCCTTGTGCTCCCATTCTGCTCTATAGGCTGGACTACATGTCCTACGAGGCACCACTTTCTCCCATGTTGGTGAGGGGAAAAGGTGCATCATAGGGGTCATGACACTTCATGGAAGACATAGTCACTGCGAGAGCTCAGAGAGGAGAATGGGAGCAAAAGGCACCCGCACTATGGCTTTCATTAGGCACAGCAGCGCCATTTTGAATGAAAATATTTCCACTTTCAGTGAAAACTGTAAACTTTTCTGATTTTAGGCATTCCATTTTTCAATGAAGTGTCAAAATTTCCCATACAGAGCAGGTGCCCTTCACAAAAAAATTAATTGAGTCAAAAACCCAAATTTCTTTTGGAAAACACTTTCAATGGAAAATTTTCAATCAGCCTTAGCTATAGGGGGGTGTAGAGAGAAGGAGCAGATTTATGGGCCTCCCTCCCCATCCCATTTGGGAGAAATTCAGACACAGAGCAGTTTTTAACCAGTTTTTCATTCTGTAAACTCCTTTTCATGCTCACACACAACATGGCAGGATGCAAGGTAAGCACAGAATGTGCCCTCCGTCAACGATGAACAGAAGTTATGCACGATGCAGGAATCATTGGGTGACGCTCTATGGCCTGTTATACAGGAGGTCAGACTAGGTGAACATAATGGTCCCTTCTGGCCTTCGGCTATGTCTACAGTACAGCCTATGTTGGCAAAATTTATGTCACTCAGGGGTGTGAATATTCGACCCCCTGAGCCACATAAGCACTCGTGTGCACAGCACTATGTTGCCAGGAGAGTTTCTCCCGCCGATATAGCTTCTGCAACTTCCGGAGGTGGTTATTTTTAAGCCAACGGGAGAGCTCTCTCCCATCGGCATAGGGCGTCCTCACCAGACGCGCTGCCATGACGCCTCTGTATCGGTATAGCTGGGCTCCTGCAGCATTGTACGTATAGACAAACCCTTATAATCTATGAATGCCAAACATTTGTGCCCGGCATTGATCCATAGAAAAAACAATGATGCATGTCTCTGTATCTATGAGGAGGTACAGTTAGGGGATCTGGGATTGTGGTGTAATTTTTGCTCGCTGTCTAATGCTGCGAGCAAACACATTTTAACCTGAAGTTTCCTTTGTCCTTTTCACAGCCTTCTTTTGTGCCCATCTGGGAGCAGCACTTGCTAATTCCCTCTCTGTGGCAGGTATTTTTTTATTGTTATTTTCTAATTTTCAGTTCCCAGGACTGTTCTGAGGCTGCCGGCAAGAATGAGATATGGACACTAGAGAGGCAAGGTGGGTGAGGAACAACTTTTATTGGAACAACTTCTGTTCGTGAGAGACAAGCTTTTGAGCTACACAGAGCTCTTCTTCAGGTCTGGGAAAGGTACTCAGGGCAGGTCTACACTTAAACACTGCATTGGCACAGCTGCAACACTTTAGCGAAGGCCCTCTAAGCCGATGGGAGAGAGCTTCTCCCAGTGGCTTAGTTAATCCTCCTCCACGCAAGGTGGTAGCTATGTCAAGAGAAGATATTCTCCCGCCGACATAGCACTGTCTATACTGGCACTTAGGTTAGTATAACAATGTCGTTCAGGGGTGTGGATTATTCACACCCTGGAGCAACATAGGCATACCAAACTAATTTTGTGGTGTAGACCAGGCTCAGCATGTCACCACTAAATACAAGTTCAAATAGATAGTTTAGCATAAGTAGTTATCACATCCATTCAAGGTGAAGTGGCCTGTTAGCACTCCTGAAAAGGGGGGTTAGTGAGTTACAGATTGTTGTAATAAGCCATGAATCCAGTTTCATACAACATGGGGACATGAGTCTACTAGGAACTGGATGAGACAACCAACTCATTTCTCATTTGACACTGAGCAGCTGTTTGGTCACCAGCAACCTAAGGCTCTGTAGCCCATCATACAGCCTGTATGCTACAGTCTATGCTCTCTCTCTCTCTCTTTATTTATTTATTTAACAACGGGCTTGTTTTGAAGGTCCATGGTTCTTTGCTTTGCATCTATCTAGGGTTGAAGAATTAAGAAAATTGTGAGTGGCATGATCAAGATCCTTTTTCTTTCAGTTTGGATTATCAGCCTGCACCTGGCCTTTCTGCTTCTCCGCATTTCTCTTGCTGCTACTAACTACAGAAAACTCTGCCATCTACAAACTGCCACTCTGCAAAGTCACTTACCCATAAGCCAACCATGTCTATTACCTGACAGTGGAAAGAAACAGGAAGGCAACAGTGATGACAAAAATAGCAGTCTGACATGCCTTCCTAATGCAGTTGTACAGCTCTGCTCCAAATATGTGAACTAAATCTTCCTTGGGACATTTCTAAACAAAACGATACTGTATTTTGTTTACAGAAGATGATGATTTTCTTTTGTGTATCATGAAATGGATGTACTGTAAGTTCTGAATTGTAATGGATTTCATTTCAGAATTAAGCTGCCTTGCTGTTAGCTGAGCCTTTACACACTCATTTCATATGATGGGATAAAATGATTTTGGCAATTAATTGATCTTTAACTATTCATGGTAAATAGGCCCAACGGCCTGTGATGGGATGTTAGATGGGGTGGGATCTGAGTTACTACAGAGAATTCTTTCCTGGGTATCTGGCTGGTGTATCTTGCCCACATGCCCAGGGTTCAGCTGATCGCCATATTTTGGGGTCGGGAAGGAATTTTCCTCCAGGGCAGATTGGAAGAGGCCCTGGAGGTTTTTCACCTTCCTCTGTAGTATGGGGCACGAGTCACTTGCTGGAGGATTCTCTGCACCTTGAAGTCTTTAAACCACGATTTGAGGACTTCAGTAGCTCAGACATAGGTGAGAGGTTTTTCGCAGTGGGTCGGTGAGATTCTGTGGCCTGCGTTGTGCAGGAAGTCAGACTAGATGATCATAATGGTCCCTTCTGACCTTAGTATCTGTGAATCTATAAACACGGAAAGTGGTAAGAATGGCTGAGTTATTGGAATGCTGATTAACTGCTGACCCAAAACATTCAGTCTGTGCCATGTGTGGAGACAGGTGAAAGGGGTGATGCTGGATGGATCTGTACTAGGTTGCGATTAGCTTTTGTGGGTGCAAGCATTTGGGCAGAGAAATGGCTGAAATAGCCCAAGATCCACTGGTCTCAGGGGATGGTGTAAATCTTACTAGACTAACTATTGTCATGAAGCTCCTGCCTTTCTGAGGTAGAGCAGTAAAATAGAAAATCTTCCTTAGAACCAAAAGGATAGGGACAGTGATGAAAGGGGGGTGATGCTATATGATTGAATATGACCATTTATATTATTGATACTGCCACTGTTATACAACTGCAACAAATCTTGTACAAAGTATGTCATGTAAGGTATCAATGGAAAAGTTATGATTTGCTAAGTATGAATACCCTCTGTTTATATGCATGTATCATCTTTGTATTTGAAGTTATGAATATTGTCTGCATACTGGCATAATACACGTGTTGTATTCCTGGGTAACACCCACCTGGTAAAATTGACATGAAAGCCAGACAGCCATGTATCGAGGGCCCGTCAAGGACACTTAGCTCTCACAGTGGGCCATAGAAGAAACTCATTCCACCCAGATAGCTTTTCCTGGGTTACCTCGGACTCCAAGGAGCATATCACATGTCCTTACATGGTTCCACTTTGTAGCCCAGTGGGCCAGCTTACCTGTATTATATTCATTGTTTTGTTATTCTGCTTTATTATATATAGTAGTATTGCAAGGATCCTACAGGCTTTTATCCTGTAAGATTTGGCTTTAGCAGATAGTGTGAGGCTTGAGGCCTATAACCTTTGGCATAGATAAATTTAAGTAACGCAGGAGTTATAGGGAACTGAAAGTAGCATGCAAGAGGGGGAATTTTATCCAGAATACCAACATCAGCCACCCATGAACATAGCTGACACAGGCATCTGGAAGGTTCCAGACAGAACGTCCAACCACAAAGGCACAATGTCAACAAATTGACATGTATGCTAATAGGGTAACATCAAACATATACTAATCTATAGAAAACGGACACCTTAAGGAGAGGAAATACAAATAAGGACCCCTATTGAATATACATTGGACATGGTAATGTCAGCATAACCTACTATAAAAAGTAATATCCCATGGGTAGCAACGAGAGAGATGTAGACCTTGGGAGGGGCCAGAATAATGGCCACCGGGGAAGATGAGGACAGTGACGGTGATAAAAAAGATAATGGTTAACATTCCAGGGTGTAAGTATGGCCGTCCAAATGTACTTTCTGTATTATCTCTATCTGCTGATCTTTATATATGTGTGTGTGTGTGTGTGTGTGTGTAAGAGTTCCTATAGTGTAAGTGTTGTACATGTGCATGTCAGGGTTCCCAAATTATATGTTAATTTTACAATAATCTAACTGGGCCTGATCTTGGGACAACACCCAGTTTACCCTCAAATTACAATTGTATATCCCTGTTAATTGTATACCTGTTAATTGTATACACCTGTTAACCCTCAAGTTACAATTTTATGCACCCAACTTTGTATACACCCAATTGTGTACACCCAGCTTTGGTTCAGGCTACAGATGGCACCCCAGATGGGACTTTTGGTGTTTCCACTATGTGTTTGGGGATGTCTGAATCTGGTGTTTTGGTTCTGGCTCATCTACGAGTGACTGGGATAATGGGCATCCTGAGGATTCTGACTAAAGCAAATGAGAGTGACGTTAACAAACACTGGTTCCTGACACTAGCATTCCTGAAATGAAGATATGCCTGATCTGAGGATCTAGTCACATTGATTGAGCTGGTCCTCAGTCAGAGACAGCCAAAAAAGGAATGTGGAGTTCTAAAGCGTCTAAGGGAAAAAAGCATTACACCCAGGCCCCAAGCCATCAGCAGCTCAGAGACTCGATCTTAAAAGGGACACAATCAACTTTCACCAGAGTTTTGATCACTTTTTTAACTTCTGTTTCCAAAACACACAGCAACCTGAAAAAGAAAACCCAACCTATCGTGGCTCCCTTTGGAGCCCGAATAGCATTTTAATTAAGTAGCATGGCATGTTTGCATTTCTTTTGCCTCTTCTACAATATACCCTGCACATGTTCTGGGGCAAATGCACATTCCTTCCATAGTTTAACTTCTATAACATTATCCGTATTGATTTTTACATAAGGTGTAACTCTTTGTTTTTTTGCTTACAGAGTTTTCATGTACCTTTATCAAAGTGACAGTCTGATTACTCAGAGCCATTTTAAGGCTCGGTGTTTCTAACATTGCTTCTTTTTGTTTTGTGCACCTCACCCCTGCTGTTGCTTCAGAGGGGCACTGTCTTTTTTCATTTCTTATTATTTATTTATTTACTATAGCTCTCATCTGCTATTTTGTTACAAAAACCAAACAAACAAACAAAAAGAATCCAGATTTTTTTTTCTATTCTCCTGATTTTGACTGCCCTGCTGCAGCCACAACTTAAAAACATTTTAAATTTTGTAAAGCATTGAGTTACCTTTTAAGTGTTAAATGCCAAATCCCAAATCCAAACAACACTAATTACCTGTGTCTAGCAAAAAGGTCTGTCAGTTTTGCAACTTTGAATAAAAGAGTCGAATGGATTTTTAGTGGCATTATTTAAAACAAAAACAAAACAAATTGATCCTTAGAACTTTACATATTTACACACACACAGATAGATACATACACATTTTCTTTTCCTTAACATCCCTTCCACACTGCTCTGTTTTTTACATCTTACATTCCCTTTATACATTTGAGGCAGTTACGTTCCAATAGAACCCCCTCATGTTCTTTTAGCAAATCTGACTAAATTGTCCAGTCAAATGATTTTAATCAGATAGTTTATTTTTGCCTGGCTAATTTACAGACATTCCTTTGGAAAAGGGCCCATTTTTCTTTCAGAATGGCTGCAAAGAAACCAAGCCCTGGTCTACACTAGGACTTTAGGTCGAATTTAGCAGCGTTAAATAGATGTAAACATGCACCCATCCACACGATGAAGCCCTTTTTTTCGACTTAAAGGGCTCTTAAAATCGATTTGCTTACTCCACCCCTGACAAGTGGATTAGCGCTTAAATCGGCCTTGCCGGGTCAAAATTGGGGTACTGTGGACACAATTCGACAGTATTGGCCTCCGGGAGCTATCCCAGAGTGCTCCATTGTGACCGCTCTGGACAGCACTCTCAACTCAGATGCACTGGCCAGGTAGACAGGAAAAGAGCCGCAAACTTTTGAATCTCATTTCCGGAGACTGCGGGAACTGTGGGATAGCTACCCACAGTGCAACTCTCCAGAAGTCAACTCTAGCCTCAGTCCTGTGGAAGCGCTCCGCTGAGTTAATGCACTTAATGCACTTAGAGCATTTTCTGTGGGGACACACACACTCGACTTTATAAAAAGGATTTCTAAAAAACCGACTTCTGTAAATTCGACCTAATTTCATAGTGTAGACATACCCCAAGAATGCTCTTTCTCTAACACTTTTCCTTTTTAACATTTTCACAAAGTTTAGCTGCTTAATTCCCTCCAGCCTCTGCAGAGTTAACTTTTTCACTCTCTTTTCTCTTTGTAATTCTGCCTGGGGGTGTTGTACATAGGACCTTCTCCCCCTTCACCTGCTGTAAGGGCTGCTACCTGTTTAGAAGCAAAGCCCAATTTTTGTCTCAGACTCTTAATTAGTGATTCACAATGACTATGATTTGCAGGTGCTCTGCCCTGCTTCAAGGTTAATTTCTTTACCATACCTTGGAGTACATGATTCGCTCTTTCAATTTTCTCAGAGGCTTTAGCTTGGTCTGCCAGGAATCTTTCTCTCTTTTTGCATTCCGGGAGTGCCTCTTTCACTATTTTCAGCTGACTTTGGGTATTTGTAGCCAGCACCTTCCAATTGTCTGCTCCCTTTTCCGTTTGTGCCTTTTCCTCTTTACATGAAGACAAGCAGCGGTAAGAATCCTTACATGCCTCCCACAACAACCAAATTGCTGCAACTCTTTTGGCAGCACTAGAAGGTTTGTATATGAGGATATACTGAGCCCATCTATCCTCTAGGTCCGAAATAGTGCAGACATCAGCTAGGGCTTGTTTAGTCCGAGGACTGTGCCCAGATTTTTGAAGGATTTGTTTAACAGGTGTAATGTTTTTTAACAAAAGGTGAGGTTGGAGTTCCTTCTGGAAATTGTTGAAATCATGGTGGAATTCCTCAAGGGCTTCTTTTCCATGGGTCCAGATGATGAAGATGTCATCAATATAGCGCAAGTAGAGTAGGGGCGTTAGGGGACGAGAGCTGAGGAAGCATTTTTCTAAGTCAGCCATAAAAATGTGGGCATACTGTGGGGCCATGCAGGTACCCATAGCAGTGCCGCTGATCTGAAGGTATACATTGTCCCCAAATGTGAAATAGTTATGGGTAAGGACAAAGTCACAAAGTTCAGCCACCAGGTTAGCCGTGACATTATCGGGGATAGTGTTCCTGACGGTTTGTAGTCCATTTTTGTGTGGAATGTTGGTGTAGAGGGCTTCTACATCCATAGTGGCCAAGATGGTGTTATCAGGAAGATCACCGATGGATTGTAGTTTCCTCAGGAAGTCAGTGGTGTCTCGAAGGTAGCTGGGAGTGCTGGTAGCATAGGGCCTGAGGAGGGAGTCTACATAGCCAGACAATCCTGCTGTCAGGGTGCCAATGCCTGAGATGATGGGGCGCCCAGGATTTCCAGGTTTATGGATCTTGGGTAGTAGATAGAATTTTCCAGGTCGGGGTTCCAGGGGTGTATCTGTGCGGATTTGATCTTGTGCTTTTTCAGGGAGTTTCTTGAGCATGATTTCAACAATTTCCATCCTACCATCAACCTCAGCCTGGTCCAGTCCACACAAGAGATCCACTTCCTGGACACTACAGTGCTAATAAACGATGGTCACATAAACACCACCCTATACCGGAAACCTACTGACCGCTATTCCTACCTACATGCCTCCAGCTTTCACCCTGACCACACCACATGTCAAGAATTATAACATTCATAAACCAATCTCTCTGGTCACGCGATTACAGACATGAAAGTTGCGATATTACAACAAAAAAACTTCAAATCCAGACTCCAGCGAGAAACTATTGAATTGGAATTCATTTGCAAATTGGATACAATTAACTTAGGCTTGAATAGAGACTGGGAATGGCTAAGTCATTATGAAAGGTAACCTATTTCCCCTTGTTTTTTCCTCCCCCTCAGACTTTCTTGTTAAACCCTAAATTTGTGCTGGAAATGGCCCACCTTGATTATCATACACATTGTAAGGAGAGTGATCACTTTAGATAAGCTATTACCAGCAGGAGAGTGGGGTGGGAGGAGGTATTTTTTCATGCTTTGTGTGTATAAAAAGATCTTCTACACTTTCCACAGTATGCATCCGATGAAGTGAGCTGTAGCTCACGAAAGCTTTTGCTCAAATAAATTGGTTAGTCTCTAAGGTGCCACAAGTACTCCTTTTCTTTTTGCAAATACAGACTAACATGGCTGTTACTCTGAAACCTGTCAGTAAGCAGCTAGTTATAGCTCTAACATTCCATTCAATCTCATATTTATTCACACATTCACTCAAACACACAAATGCTCATCTAACAAGGCCCTGCTCCCTCCTCATATCCAGGCCACCTGGCCAGTGGCTTGGCATGAGCAACTCTAAGGCTGGTAACTATGATAACAACCTTGCGGAACCTGTGTCTGTGTGTATGAATGAATGTGTGAATAAATATGAAATTGAATGGAATGTTAGAGCTATGTAAGATCTTCTAAACTTTCCACAGTATGCATCCGATGAAGTGAGCTGTAGCTCACGAAAGCTTATGCTCAAATAAATTGGTTAGTCTCTAAGGTGCCACAAGTCCTCCTTTTCTAACTGCTTACTATGATTCTTTCTGTATTCACAATAAATGTGGCACTTTGTCTTTTCTCCTTTAATAAGATCCTGCTGGTTTTTATTTTATTGGTATAACACAGTCCTGGGATGGTCCTGTTGGCCACTATGTCCCTCCCAGGTAGGGTTACAACCTTTGAAATGCAAAAATACCCAGCCAGCCCGCCCTCCTCACGGCAAGTCTGAGGCAACCCCAACCATAAGGCAACTCCGCAACCGCTACCTTCAACAGCGACTTATAGTATCTGGAGAGATAGCCCATATAGATATGATTGATCATATCAATGATAAATTACGGGACTTTGTTTTATCAGCACATTTTGCCATCTAGGCTTTGTAGTCTGGTTTGTTTAACCAGTTGTGACTGACTGGGCTGTTTCTGATGCAAGCTTTTTTTCCGGGGGTGAAGTAGGATCACTCACACCGTAGTGCTGCTCTTCTATTATTTAATTATACCTTGCATGTCTCCTCACACTCACATGACTCAAACCCTCGTTCAACACACAGGCAGTGCGCTTGCCTTTAGGTGGGCAGCCAGCTGCTGTATTTTCAACCGTTCTGATCTGTTATCACTTAAACTGTGGAAGTGGGAACACTGCAGCATCTTTAGCTGGACACAGAAACTTTTAACATTAGTTATCCCAGTGTATTGTGATAATAACACAAATCCTTACACCCAGGTTAAAAAAACCCCAGCAGAGTAAATAATTTTCCTCGCAACTGCAAATCCATAAAAAAACCGGCTAGGCTGGTCAAGTACTGGCCAGGTGGTAACCCTACACCCAAGCTTCAGCTGCTTCACTATGTGAAGGCCTACTCACTACAAGAACCCTTTTAGCGGGGGGGGGGGAACACACACACACAAACACACATTCTCTCGAACGAGCAGCACTTTTTCCCCTCAGGGCAAAGGTTTAAAGGGGCCATGCTCGCTAAACCCCAAAAGGGTTACAGAAACAGTCATCATGGGGAAATCCTTGCACCATTCCTGGAGCAGGTATTCCTTGCTTGTCTTTGTTTCTTTAGAAGGTACAGAGAAAGCAGGCCCAAGGCCAAGAGCCTCAAACGGCTTTAGTCACCTATTTGAGGATCTAAGCCTAGGTGTAGGGCCCTACCAACTTCATGGCTGTGAAATCTGGCCTTTTGTGTGCTTTTACCCCATACTATGCAGAATTCACGGGACAGACGAGTGTTTCTCAAACGGGAGGTCCCAACACAAGAGAATCACGGGGGGGGAGGGGTCACAAGGAGCTGGGGTCACAAGGATCTGGGCAGCCGGTCCTGAAGGCAGCGGCTGCTGGCTCGGCGCCCAGTTCTGAAGGCAACACCCCACCAGCTGCAGCGCAGAAGTAAGGGTGGAAATACCATACCAGGCCACCCTTATTTCTGCCCTGCTGCCTTCAGAGCTGGGCGGCTGGAGAGTGGCGGATGCTGACTGAGGGCCCAGCTCTTCAGGCAGCAGCACAGACGTAAGGGTGACACTCCCATGCCATACCGCACCGGGCCATCCTCACTTCTGTGTTGTTGCTGGTACTGGTGCTGCCTTCAGAGCTGGGCTCCTGACCAGCAGCTGCTGCTCTCCTGCTGTCCAGCAAGGCATCACCAGCAGCAGGGCAGAAGAAAAGGTGGCAGTATGGTGACCTCCCTGTAGTAACCTTGTGATCCCCCCCCCCAAACCCTCTTCTGAGTCGGGACCCCCACAACAGTTACAACACCATGAAATTTCAGATTTAAACCTCTGAAATCACAAAATTTACTAAATGTAAAAGTTCTATTGCCATGAAATTGACCAAAATGGACCGTGAATTTAGGCGGGTCTACCTATGTGATGAGGTCTTGGTCTAACCAAGGGGATACATTGACTCAGACAAGACCAACCCCATGTAAATTGTCTTGGGAAAGTGTAAGGACTCAGACCCCCATGTTTCTGGTACACCCTCCCATTAGTTCAGGGGTGGCCAACCAGTGGCTCCGGAGCCCCATGCGACTCTTCAGAAGTTAACATGTGGCTCCTTGTTTAGGCACCGACTCCAGGGCTGGAGCTGCAGGCGCCAACTTTCCAATATGCCGGGGGGTACTCACTGCTCAGCCCCTGGCTCTGCCACAGGTCCTGCCCCCACGCTACGCCTTCCCATCCCCCCCTTGAGCCTGAGGTGCCCTCACTTCTCCCCCCTCCCCCCAGAGCCTCCTGCATGCCACGAAACAGCTGATCAGGAGGTGTGGGGATGGAGGGGGAGGTGCCCATTGGTGGGGCTGCTGGTGGGCGGGAGGTGCTAGAAGCAGAGTGGGGGGGGGAGCTAATGCGGGGGGTTGTTGATGTATTACTGTGGCTCTTTGGCAATGTACATTGGTAAATTCTGGCTCCTTCTCAGGCTCAGGTTGGCCCCCTCCATAGAATCATAGACTCTCAGGGTTGGAAGGGACCGCAGGAGGTCATCTAGTCCAACCCCCTGCTCAAAGCAGGACCGATCTCCAACTAAATCATCCCAGCCAGGGCTTTGTCAAGCCTGACCTTAAAAATATCTAAGGAAGGAGATTCCACCACCTCCCTAGGTAACACATTCCAGTGTTTCACCACCCTCCTAGTGAAAAAGTTTTTCCTAATATCCAACCTAAACCTCCCCCATTGCAACTTGAGACCATTACTCCTTGTTCTGTCATCAGCTACCACTGAGAACAGTCTAGATCCATCCTCTTTGGAACCCCCTTTCAGGTAGCTGAAAGCAGCTATCAAATCCCCCCTCATTCTTCTCTTCCGCAGACTAAACAATCCCAGTTCCCTCAGCCTCTCCTCATAAGTCATGTGCTCCAGTCCCTGAATCATTTTTGTTGCCCTCCGCTGGACTCTTTCCAAATTTTCCACATCTTTCTTGTAGTGTGGGGCCCAAAACTGGACACAGTACTCCAGATGAGGCCTCACCAATGTCGAATAGAGGGGAACGATCACATCCCTAGATCTGCTGGCAATGCCCCTACTTATACATCCCAAAATGCCATTGGCCTTCTTGGCAACAAGGGCACACTGTTGACTCATATCCAGCTTCTCATCCACTGTAACCCCTAGGTCCTTTTCTGCCGAACTGCTGCCGAGCCATTCGGTCCCTAGTCTGTAGCAGTGCATGGGATTCTTCCGTCCTAAGTGCAGGACTCTGCATTTGTCCTTGTTGAACCTCATCAGATTTCTTTTGGTCCAGTCCTCTAATTTGTCTAAGGCCCTCTGTATCCTATCCCTACCCTCCAGCGTATCTACCTCTCCTCCCAGTTTAGTGTCGTCTGCAACCTTGCTGAGGGTGCAATCCACACCATCCTCCAGATCATTTATGAAGATATTGAACAAGCTGCTTGTCCTGCTGTCCCGTCTCTTTGAGGTGTAAATTACTCACAGCTGGGCCAACAAACAGCAGTCACACTCATTAGGCTCCTACATCACTTAGCCCTGGTCTACAATGCAGAGTTAGGGTGACCCAGCTGTGGGACGCCGGGGGTGGACTTCAACCCCCCCAACCCCCACTTCAGCAGGAGGCTCCAACGGTGGGCTTGAGCCCCTACCCGCTCCAGCTTCAACTGCATGGCTCCTGGGGTGGGCTTAACCCCCTTCCATCCCTCTCCTGGCTCCAGCCCGTGCGGCTCTGGCAGCAGGTCTTCAGCAGCGTCTGCCTTAGACGTCACGATGGCCAAGAGGCAAGGAGCAGGGTGAGCCAGGAGTGGCAGAAGGTTCCCTCAAAGTGGGAAGGGGGCCCACTGACACCTGACCCATTTCCCCCCCCCGCATCACCCTTTCTACCTGAGGCCCCACCTCCCACACCACCCATTCCGCCCCCCCAAGACCCCAGCCCCCAATGAGTGCCTCTCCGCCCCTCTCCCCCGCCCGTCACTCACCCTTATGGCCAATAAAAAGTGACGGAGCCACAGTCCCCTGCGCCCCCCCCCCCCCGTTCTGGTGTCCCTGGGGTGAGCCTGGGCTGCAAGGCCATGGAAGGGAGCTCAGGACAATGAGGGGGAACAGCAGGGCCCAGCATGGTGATGGGAGGTTGGGGGAGGCAGGGGAGGCTAGAGGGCTCTGTAGAGGCCAGCAGAGGCAGCAGGGGGCCAGGGACACCAAAATACAACTGTCCATTATTGTTATTATTGAATCTGCAAAAAAAATTTTGTTGTGTGACCCCCCCCCCCCGCTCTCCAGCCTCCTTTTGAAAACCTCCAGTGAAGGAGCTTCCACAACCTCCTGAGGCGTCTGTTCCATTGTGCTACTCTTCTTACAGCTGGGAAGTGCTTCCTGTCATTTGGGCTAAATCTGCGATGCTGTAGTTTGAACCCATTGCCTCTTGTCCTGCCCTCCTGTGGCAAAAGAGACCAACTTTTCTCCATTTTTTTTATGGCAGCCTTTCAAGTATCTCAAGCCTGCTCTCATGTTCCCCTTAATCACCTCTTTTCCAAGCAAAACATACCCGGTTCCTTCATCCAAGATGTTAATCCAGATCTCACTTCCATCCCCCCACATGAGTCATCTCATTTGGTTTGGTTAAAAAGGAGCAAGTTTATACTCGTTCACACAGCCCCTGTAAGGAGCTACAGCAATTCAGTAAGGCCTGTGCCCAGGGGATATGTATGCATGGGAATTGTGGCTATGCCAGGAATGGCGTATCAGCATTTACACATCCACTCACCGGAGTAGGAGAGTGAAGGATTTCACACTGGCCCATGTTGCTATTTTTGAAATATGCCACCAGAGGGCACCAAAACAACAGAAAAGGAGTACTTGTGGCACCTTAGAGACTAACCAATTTATTTGAGCATGAGCTTTCGTGAGCTACAGCTCACTTCATCAGATGCATACCGTGGAAACTGCAGCAGACTTTATATACACACAGAGAATATGAAACAATACCTCCTCCCACCCCACTGTCCTGCTGGTAATAGTTTATCTAAAGTGATCAACAGGTGGGCCATTTCCAGCACAAATCCAGGAGGGTGAGAAAACCTGGATTTGTGCTGGAAATGGCCCACCTGTTGATCACTTTAGATAAGCTATTACCAGCAGGACAGTGGGGTGGGAGGAGGTATTGTTTCATATTCTCTGTGTGTATATAAAGTCTGCTGCAGTTTCCACGGTATGCATCTGATGAAGTGAGCTGTAGCTCACGAAAGCTCATGCTCAAATAAATTGGTTAGTCTCTAAGGTGCCACAAGTACTCCTTTTCTTTTTGCGAATACAGACTAACACGGCTGTTCCTCCAAAACAACAGAGCAGACCAAATACTCCTTCTTTTAAGACTGCATGAAGGTTGGTATTTTTTTAACTACAATAGCCCCTCCAGAATGGCAGTTGTTCGTAACTCTGAAATGTCTGTAACTCTGAACAAAGCATTATGTTAGTTCTTTCAAAGGTTTACAAATACTTAATACAGTTTTGATGCTTTACTATGCAGAAGGACAAAGCTGCTTTTACCGTCTTTAGTCAAATGAAACAAGCACAGAAACAGTTTCCTGACCTTGGCAAATCTTTTCTTTAACCAGTGATGAGCTGTAGCTCATGAAAGCTTATGCTCAAATAAATTGGTTAGTCTCTAAGGTGCCACAAGTACTCCTTTTCTTTTTGCGAATACAGACGAACACGGCTGCTACGCTGAAACTCTTCTTTAAACTTTCCCTTTATTTTGTCAGGTTTCAGAGTAACAGCCGTGTTCGTCTGTATTCGCAAAAAGAAAAGGAGGACTTGTGGCACCTTAGAGACTAACCAATTTATTTGAGCATAAGCTTTCGTGAGCTACAGCTCACTTCATCAGATGCATCCAATGAAGTGAGCTGTAGCTCACGAAAGCTTATGCTCAAATAAATTGGTTAGTCTCTAAGGTGTCACAATTACTCCTTTCCTTTATTTTGTAGTAGTTTACACTTAACACAGTACTGTACTGTACAATATTTTGCTGCTTTTTTTGGTCTCTGCTGCTGCCTGATTGCGTCCGTCCGGTTCCAAGTGAGGCGTGGGGTTGATCGATCATAACTCTGGTGTTCACAACTGAGGTTCTACTCTACAGAAGAAATTAAAGTGCAATTCCACACTAATGACACCCCGGGTTTTCACATCCATTGAAGCCCTTCCCAGCACACACTGAGCAGCGGATGGAGGGGGTTTTAATATGACATGCCCCTCCGCACCTAAGCACGTCATGCAGAATTGATGTTACAGCTGCACAAGCTTTGTGCTCCATAGAGAAACACACTAAAATCGAGAAACCAAGACCCTCAAAGACTGCTAAATGACCCACCTGGCAATATGGCCTAATGGGAATAATAGACTGTGGTGGATGACCTATAATTGAATGTTTTATTGCTTTAGTGACAAAGTTGCTTAAGAAAAATGCCAGCTTTGCAGCCTTCGAAGCCACGTATAATCTAGACTCCAGCAATGCCTCCCCTTGCCCCAACTGCTGTGCTGCCTTCTCCCTGCCACATCTCATCCCATCCTCTTCTGAAACTGCCTCCACAGAGATCAATATAGTGGGGTGGCTGCCTGTGCACTCAGGACATCAAATGATCCAGCAGGTTGCCAAAGAGAAGTTTATTATGGGCCAGTTTCAAGGGATGGATTCTCACCCCCACTTACACCAGATTATGGGCATTCCCACTGTATATAAATAAAAAAATAGTCCCCTCAACAAACACGTGCAGGATGGTGACAGACCTGTTGTGTGCGCTTTTCCACTCAGCCTCTGATGTGTTCCTAAGCGGAAATGGCTTGTGGTAACGTGGCTTAGGACATGGAGAGCCACAGAGTTGTTGATGGACGCTCCTCTTGCGTCATGTTGCATCACTGGTTGTGGCAGCCTGACCTGCTCCCTCAGATCTGATCATACCACAAGGCTGCTGAAAATGACCATCCATGCAGCTATCTCGTGGCGTTCCTCAGCGTTCCACTTTTTAGGGGTCTGACTCCATCTGAGTCTCAGGGGGCAACGCATTAGGCTAAGTCGGCTTACACTGAGCATAGTTATACAGCCAAAATGTGACGTCAGCCCAGTCCACTGGCAATCGACTGCTGCATGCACCTCTCTGAGCTGTTGGTAGCTAGGTGGGATGTGGTGGCAGAGCACTCTGCCCCAAGGGAAGAGCTCACGGCACACTTGAAGAAACAGCTTGGAGAGCATCTGGGGGAGAGCAGTCCAGGCTTTATTAACTTGTAGTAGGGCACTGTTGTAATGGGTCTTTGCAAACAGGGCATTCCACCTCCTCCTCCTTCCAAAAAGCATCTGAGCGCTAGTAATTTCAAGTAAAGCTAGTCACCCCTATGCCCCTGATTATCCCGCCGGTGCCAGTTAACTTGGTGACTCTGGGAGTGCGGAATGTACTTGGTACCGTCTCTTGACAGCTCATGGGATTGGAGGTTAGAATGGGCAGCTCCAGACTGGTTTTGAGCTCCCTTACACTGGTCTAACGCAGGAGTCAGATGAGTTACAATGGTGTAAAGCTGGCACAAGTGAGATCTGCAGTCACCGACGTATGGCTTTTTAAAGCCAGCAGGGACCATTATCATTATCTAGTCTGACCTCCTACATGACCCAGGCCACAGACTTTCACCAAGGCCCGGGGCCTTAAAGGTATTAAGGCATTACAACACCTAACACATAGGCAGCCTGCTGCCCTCTGGCATTTTCAGACAGAGCTAGGTGTCCAGGCTCTCCATGGGGAGAGGTAGCCAGCTAGGCAGGGCTCCTCAGAAGCCAACCAGCTGAATGGGGAGCCACCTACGGTAGCCAGGAATGCAATACCAAGAAGAAGGGCTTAGCTGGCTGAGCTGGTGCATCTGGCTGATGGGCCGGAGATAGGGATCTCCCTCTGCTCAGGATCCTGAGTTGTGAACCGTCTCCCGGAGTTAGGACCTAAGCCAGGTCAGCCACCTAGATAGCCCATGTCCTACCAGCAGAAATGTCTCCCTCTCTCTCTGTCTCCCCCCCACCCCAACCCACCCCTCCTCTCACCTCTATCATGCACATCCTCCATTTCCCCCTTCCTACAGCTGTCTTTTGTGTGGGTGCCGGGCTCCTTCCCTCCACCATCAATCAGCAGCTTGAGTCCTGCTGCCAGGTCTGACTGGTACCAAGTGGTAGGCATGATCTCAGACAGGTTCCATGCTTCGTTTCTCTGGGGCTTCAGCTAGAGTGAAGGCTCTGAGCAGCTCATTGGGGTGGCAGCAGCAATTCAAAAATGCTGACCAGCAGCCAGTTAGGGGGCTTAGGTATTTAAGGAGTTAGTCAATGGCTCTGACAATGCCGGTGATACTGAAAGGGTGGAGTTAGGCACATAGAGTCTTTCTGGATCGGGCCACTAGTGTTTCCTGCATCAAGTCTAGGCTGTCTGGCTGAGCAAAAATGGATCTTTTCAGACAACGTCCAGTCTTTCTTTAAAGCCCTCATGTGACAACTAGGTAAGTTGTTCCAATGGTTAATTACTCTTATTGTGCACCATATTGCTAGTCTAAATTTGTTAAACTTCAGCTTCCAGCCACTGGGTCTTGTTATATCTTAGTCTGTGAGATTGAAGAGCCAGCTACTGTCGGAAATCTCTTCCCCCTGAAGGAATTTATAGAACATGATCAAGCTACTCTTTGATAAGATCTTCTATTTGACAAGATAAACAGCTAGAGTCTTGCAAAGACATGTATTCCAGGCATCTGATCATTCTTGCAGCTCTTTTCTGAACCCTTTCCAGTTTGTCACTCTCCCTTTTAAAGCGTGCCTCTGCCCCGCAAGACCTGAACATGGTATGCCTGAATTAGCCGAGAGATTTTTTGTTCAGATGAACTTGACAGGGATGCTTGTGAACATTTTGCTGAGAAATGCATTTCCTCCTTGAGTCGCCTTAATGCTAATTAGCTATCTAGTGTCATAGGGGGTTGTTCTGGGGGCATTCTGTGGGGGCAGTCCCAAGGAATGAGGGCGGGGGTTGCAGCACCTTCGTACTTGTTTAGCCTAACCAAAAGAAGGCTGAGGGGAGATATGATTGCTCTCTGTAAATATATCAGAGGGATAAATACCGGAGAGGGAGAAGAATTATTTAAGCTCAGTACCAATGTGGACACAAGAACAAATGGATATAAACTGGCCATCAGGAACTTTAGACTTGAAATTAGATGAAGGTTTCTAACCATCAGAGGAGTGAAGTTCTGGAACAGCCTTCCAAGGGAAGAAGTGGGGGCAAAAGACCTATCTGGCTTTAAGATTAAACTTGATACGTTTATGGAGGAGATGGTATGATGGGATAACATGATTTTGGCAATCAATTGATCTTTAACTATTCATGGTAAATAGGCCCAATGGCCTGTGATGGGATGTTAGATGGAGTGGGATCTGAGTTACTACAGAGAATTCTTTCCTGGGTACCTGGCTGGTAAATCTTGCCCACATGCTCAGGGTTCAGCTGATCGTCATATTTGGGGTCAGGAAGGAATTTTCCTCCAGGACAGATTGGAAGAGGCCCTGGGGGGTTTTCGCCTTCTTCTTCAGCATGGGGCACGGGTCACTAGCTGAAGGATTCTCTGCACCTTGAAGTCTTTAAACCATGATTTGAGGACTTCAATAGCTCAGACATAGGTGAGAGGTTTATTGCAGGAGTGGGTGGGTGAGATTCGGTGGCCTGCATTGTGCAGAAGATCAGACTAGATGATCATAATGGTCCCTTCTGACCTTAATATCTATGAATCTACTCTAGCATGTAGTACCTAGGAGGCCTGGGGCAGTGCAAATACAATATAGAGTAATAGAAAGCCTGCTTTACCTTACACCAGGAGCCAGGGTTGCATTTGAACAGCCCCAGAATGTGGGAAGTATAAAGGTGGCTTAGAGGTAAGGTCCTGGAACAGAGGTTTTGCGGTCAAACTCTTTATATTAGGACCGTCCGCCCAAATCCTTTTCCTTCCTCTGAGCGGCTGGTGTTTGTTGAACAGGAAAGAAAAGTAAAGGGCTCCCCAAGAGTAACAAACAATGAGAAAAGGCAAACATTATTACTGAGCACTTCCTAGAATAACATCACGCTATCTTATATAACACATGTGCTATGAGCCACAGCTTCAGTTTATCGCACAGTCTGGCGATGTCCCAAGGATGGTGCCTGGGAGATTAAGCGGGGACCAGCTCACACTAATGAATTGAAGCTGAAAACTGCGAGCACAGACCCAGCTAAGAAAAAGTAAGAACATTCTTCCATTAAAAATATCTTGATCAGAATACGGTGCATGTGATTCATAGGCAGGGATGGGCATCTACAATATATATAAATAGAATATCCTCCTTTCAGTTACTGCAGAGCAAGAGCTTGTATTTCTACAGGGTAGGAAGCAAAGCCACAAAACCAGATGTGGTCTGTACTTCAACTACAAGCTGGTGGACTTGATGCAGGAATTCCTGGGAGAGATACTATGGTCTGTGTTCTTCTGACGAGATAATCACGATGGTCTTTTGTGGCCTTAAAATCTATGAAACTGGGTCTTTAATTCATGTGAAAGATATCTAAGCAGAGCTGGTTGGAATTTTACATCCAAAACAGAGGGCTTTCAGAGAATGCTGATTCATGGAACATGAAACCTTCAGCTAATCAAAGGCGGGGTCCTTCAGGAGCTTGTCAAAGATTTGTCATTCGTGCTCAGCATACGCCGCAACGGCAGCGTGCCTGCCAAAACCACAGTTTTCCAGGGAATGCAGCTCTGGGGGGACTTCCGATGCTTCCACTCTCCCTGCCATAGAGTTAGGAACTGAAAGCCCTGGGGTGGTCTCCCAGAATCAGCTCTTCTAGGGCAAATCCACCATGCAGACTGCCCCGGGCTAACAGCAACCATGACATTCACAAGAATGTAAAAAGAAAAGGAGTACTTGTGGCACCTTAGAGACTAACAAATTAGTTACTTTACAAGAATGTAAGTTCCACGTAGCAGCTGTGGGGAGTGGATTTTGTGTCAGAAGCACCGTGTGTCAGTGTTTCTTAAATGAATTTGTTTTTAAGATTTCCAGTTTGCAGGAAATGTTTAAAAAAAAACAAAAACATTAAAATAATAGATTTATTCCCTTTGGAACTGAACCAAAGCAAAATTTCCTGTGAACTGCAAATCCTGCGTTTTGGCCAGCTCTAGATCTAAGTTCATGGGGTTTTCACTGTCCTTTCTTGCACTATTCACCCTTCTTAGATTCCCCTCTGGTACCCTCTTTCTACCTTTCACAGCTATGTATGTTTGCCTTATAAACTTCTCAAAAATGCCAATGTTCTACTATGCTAGATTCCTCCCACAGGCCAGGGGGTCCCGGTGAAAAAAATAACTTGAATTTCTCAAGTGACTAGGAAAAACCCAGTTCACAAAGTAAAGGTCATAAGTGTACTAAGCACCTGGAGCAGAAGCACATTACAGGATTGGGCTCACGGAATGCTGCTGAGAAGCAAATATGAGCCCAAAGCAGTTTCATACAGCCTTAGAATTTGGGGTTAGGGTGGGAAGTTTCAAAAGCCAAATCCATATATCGTAACTGGTTCATATCACAGGACTTGACCAAAGCAAAATCCTGGCTCCGATTCCCTCCTCAGGTTTGGGGGTGTTGGATGGTTCAAATTTTTGCAGCTGACTCCCCTCTCTGCTAAGAAGCCATCTACACTGATGTGTGTATAGATGCATTAAAATGGACAAAGACATACCATAGAAATAAGTTCAGACTCCTCCGGATTCTTCTTTGGTGACCTAACAGGCAAAGTTACACAATTAAATAATTGAATTTTAATGTGGAGTGGAAAAGTGTAGGCTTGATGAAAATGCAAAACAGCAGCAGGAAAGATGGGGTTTAGTAAGATACTTGGCAAGAAACCAAGACAAAAGGTGGAGCAGGTGGCTACCTTCTAGCATTTCTTTCCAATCTGCCATGTAACATGAAATGGTAGGAGGAGTGCTCAATTTGTTGCGTTACGATAGGAGCTGTTCTCGCTATATAAACTGGTGGGGCACTTGGTCTACTATCTCTGGCTCGGCACACATTCTTTAATAGATAGTCAGATACTGCATAGCAACAGCTGCCTTGCTGGACTCAGCTGGAAGGTAAGAAGAGTTTGTTTTCATGCAGAGCTTGAATTTCTTATGTATCTGTGCCTTTTCCCCCATGAATAGGAAAATACAGACAGTTAACAAAACTCTTGAATGGAAGTAAATGAAAGTAAATAAAGCAGATTAGAGTAAGTGAAACAGCACCCGGGGACTGCCTCAATCATATTCATTCCCAGCACTTTTCTGCTAGGCACTCTAATTACATTTATTAACCCGACTGACTGTACCTTTGATACATGCACTGCTTCTCTCTTATCTGTTCTGTTTACTGCCTTTTAATTTTGCAAATGAAAAATGACCAGTCAAAACTGATCAGGATCAACTGTGATAGCAAAGCCAGAGATATTCTAATATTGGACAGATCTTTGAAAGTTGAACTATGGATGGATTTAATGCGTGTTTGATTGTCACAGTTGAGCTACATTTGAAATGAGTGTTTTAAGAAGGCATTTATCTATGAGCAATGTGCTGGACTTATGAATAGGCAGCAGGTTTAAAACAAAGAAAAGGATGTACTACTTCACACAATACACAGTCAACCTGTGGAACTCATTGCCAGGGGATGCTGTGAATGCCAAAACTATAACTAGGTTCAAAAAAGAACTACATAAGTTCATGGAGGATAGGTCCATCAATGGTTACTAGCCAAGATGGTCAGGGATACAAACTGATGTGCTGAGTGTTCCTAGCCTCTGATTACCAAAAGCTGGGTGGGATTGACAGGGGATGTATCACTGGATGATTGCTTGTTCTGTTCATTCGCTCTGAAGCAATTGGATTGGCCACTGTCGGAAGACAGAATACTGGGCTAAATGGACCATTGGTCTGACCCAGTATGGCCATTCTTATGGGAAAGCACCAAACACCAATTTAACCATAAATTCCTTTATTAAATCCAAAAACCAAATGATACTTTATGCAGTAGCTCTAAATATAGCTAAGACCCTAAAAATGAGCAGTCACTACACCCAATACAATAACAGAGTATTCTTAAGTATGTGATCAGTATACTTACAAATAGGCCAGACCTTGGGCTAACCCTCTCATTCTGGTGTACTCCAGCTAGTACCAGGTTTCCCATGGCGCCACAGTGCCGGGCCCAGGCTCCAAAGGGGCCCTGCCCCCAATCCGCTCTGCTTGGGCTGCAAGGCCCCCAAAGCTCCTCTCTGCCCCTGCCCACCACTCTCTCCTGCGGGGGAGGCAGAAGCTTGGTCCTGCCGGCTCCTGGGCTCCTGCTGCAAGGCTGGCTCCTCCCGCACCCACCAGCAGCCAAGCTTCCCCGCCTCTTCTCCAGAGTGCGCCACATTCCCACCCCTTCCCCTCCCTCCCAGCGCTTCCCCCACCACCAAACAGCTGTTTGCCAGTGCTCCGGGAGGGGGAGCGAGGAGTGGGGCCACAGCATGCTTGGGGGAAGAGGCAGAAAAGAGGCAGGGGCAGGGCCTTGGGGAAGGGGGTGGAATCAGGGCAGGGCAGAGCAAAGGCGGGGCCCCAGCACTCCCCCATCCCATCCTCCCCACCCCCCCGCCATGAGCCACTCAGGGCAGGGGGCTGCGGTGTGGGCTGGAGTCATGGGGGTGCTCCCTGCCCTGACTCCAACACCCCTCCCCCCAACCACATTCCCACCTCCACCCCTCGCACCAAACAGGAGCTGCCCCAGGTAAGCGCCCCACACCCCAACTTCCTGCTCCAGGCCTGAGCCCCCTCCCACACCCTAACTCCTGGCCAGACCCCACACCCCGATGGTTTTTTTACTTTCTTTTTTATATAAAGTGATCTTATCCAAAGCGCTTTACAGTAGGTAGCTAAAGATACAAACAATATTTGGAAAGATCATTAAGTGGTCCGCCGAGACCCCCCCCCCCAGCAATGATTTTCAGGTGGCCTGTGGAAAAATAAGTTAGACTAGAAAAACAATCAAGCTATCTCACTCTATTTTCGTGTACTCGCTATTACTTACAGGAGGAGGGTGAAGAAAAAAAGAATGAAAAATGGGGGCGGGGGGGAACTAAAAGAGAACGTTCTTTTTCTCGGCTGGGTCCCAAGGAGGGGCCCCAAAAATGAAGCTGAGCCCAGGGCCCCACTAACCCTAAATCTACCACTGGGGCTGACCCCTCCCCCACAGCTCCCCACGCCGCAGCCAGGGGCTGACCCTCCCCCCCCACTCCCCGAGCTCTGCGTGAACTGGGGCTGACCCCTCCCTTGCCCCAGCTCCCCACACCGCTGCCAGGGGCTGACGTTGGCCCCTAAACCTCCCCCTCCCCCTCTCCCCCCCCCAAGCTGCATTCTGGCTGGGTCTGGGGCTGACCCCTCAAGCCCTGCTGCCTGACACCTCGCATCGGCGCTCCCCGCACGCACATTCCTCCACACCCCGCTATGGGGGGGCACACTGGACTTTTTTGGTAAACTGGGCATTTGTTCATTTGCTCTTGCCAACTGATCGGTGCAAGAGCAAACAGGATAAATGCCCGGTTTTGTCAAAATAGTCAGGCTGGCCGGGACAGAGCTTAAAAAAGGGAACAGTCCCAGCCAAACGGGGACATATGGTCACCCTATCTCCAGGCAAGTGGATCCTGAGGGAGTTTTGGGGCGGGGAGGGAGGTCTGTGTGTTGGGATACTGGGAAGTGGGGGGGTCTGAGTGGGATGCTGTGTAGTTGTGATGGTGGGCTGTGGGGAAGTGCATTGGGCAGTAGTGGTGCGGCTGTGTGTGTGGGGGGGGGGTGCTGGGTTGGGGGGGAGTGCAGGCCGCTGTGCGTTTGTGGTGGAGGGTCTGTGTGTGGGGCTGCTGGGCATAGCAGTTCCAGGAGATGCTGGGCATAGGGAGTTGGGGGCTGTGTGGCACAGCCTGGGCCCACCCCCGAGAGGAAGGGGCACACTGGCAGCACAGGGCTGGGCGGGCCAGTGTGCGTCTGACAACTGCCGGTTTGAATACAGTGCCCTTGCACTGGGCTGGGTGGAGCAGGGCCGGCCCCACCATGCTATGCCCCATTGCCCCTGGCTGGTCCCTTGCTCTGGGGACCAAACTCCCCACGCCATGCTCCTTTGCCCCCGTGGGGGCCCACAAATATGTTTGGGGCTGGGCCCACAAAAGGTTAATCCAGCCCTGAGTCTCCAGCATAATCAGGTAGAGTCTGACCAAGAACTTTCAGATTCATGGCTCTCTTTATACTCTTCAGGTAACTTGACAGCTTTAACAAAAACCCAGTCTGAGGCAGTTTATCCTTGCCCCTTTCCTTCCTCTAAGCTTCCCTTTCTTGTCTTCTCCCCACATCCTTGCTTGCCAGCAGAACAGTGGAAACTTTTGTGCTTGTTTCTTTTAAGACAATTTTTCTTTGTCTTGTTGGTGCAGCTCTTTGTTAGTTTTGGAATCATACATTTTCCCCACATTACGAGTTATATTACTTATTATTCTCACGGCCTTCTTTTATTTGATTTTTGAGGCCCTCTCCGTATTAGCCACAATCCATAAAGCAAATACATTATTTTCTTAACCAAACTTATGCTAACGCTAATTGTTTAATTTCATAATTATCCTACATTCACCACCTTAGAACCCTACATACTACATGGGCTTTACTACATTAAGCATTTTAAACATACATCTATAATTTTGCAACATCTTGTACAACTAATAAACTTGACAATACAAAATCAAAACTACAATTACCATAATCACACTGATAACTATCAAAGCTCTGAATGACAATCTTCACCATGACAGGTTTCAGAGTAGCAGCCGTGTTAGTCTGTATTCGCAAAAAGAAAAGGCGGACTTGTGGCACCTTAGAGACTAACAAATTTATTTGCGCGTAAGCTTTCGTGAGCTACACCTCACTTCTGTAGCTCATGAAAGCTTATGCTCAAATAAATTTGTTAGTCTCTAAGGTGCCACAAGTACTCCGTTTCTTTTTGCAAATCTTCACCATGAATGTAATTCCACTTTGTACCCTTGTTCCCACCAGGTGGAGCTAGTTAACTGCCGAATTCTCTGTGCATGGCTATTAAGCTTTTAAGATCCAGGTTCAAGTGAGGATAGCATGCCCAAATTTGGGTATTGCTTTTCAAGCATTCTCCTCTCATCTGAATTCAGCCCATCATTCAGTTACATTATGGAAAATGGATATGGGATGTAAAGTCTTTCCATTTATCACTGCAGTGAATTTTGGTGGGGTACAAAAAATTGGCCAATCAGAATAACATTTTTTGGATCTAGCCACTGAAAGTGGCTATTGCCATCCACCAAGCAATATTTACCAATCCCAGCATAAGCAGTTTTCATTTCACCAGTTCCCCAGCATCTCTACTGTACTGTGCAGTTTGGAGATTGCTCCCGCAGAGTTAACTCACATGCCAGCAGCTCTGTCTGTAAGACATTACATGGGCATCTATTGGTGTCTCCCAGGTGTGAGCAACAGGACAAGCTCAGTGCTTTCAAGACCTTGTCCTCATCTTGCAACAGTATTTGAGAAGGAGAAACAAACTCTTTTCCAACTTTATTAGTTGCCGTATCTTCCAGTACTTTGAGAGGTTTAACAGGGGTTTGAATGACCTGATCTGCAATTACTGGGACAGATAGCGTAGGTGGGATAAGGAGTCCTGTATTCTTTTCATGATATTGGAGCCTGGAGAGGTTTTGTTGTTATAGTTTTACACCAATCAGCCTCATCACATTTTCAGTTTCTCTGGGGTTATACAAGAGGGCAATTTACCTTATTCCATATCAGTGAGAGTGGCCTTGATTTTGGCTAATACATTCTCTCCAGGCATAGAACAGGGTATGGCCCTGGCCATTGCCCCACTTTGATAACCTTAATTGGTTTGGTTAACTTGTTCGTTGACTTTGTGCTGTACTTCCTTAAACAAACTGCATATTATATACATTCAAAAGTTATTGATTAATGAGTTCTTTCCTGTGCTCAGTCACTGGGCTCAGGATGTCCTGGCGTTGGAATGCATGGTCATGTTCCCACAAGGGCTCAATGTCTGCCTGGTTTCAGATTGATGCTCTGGCTCCAAACCACCTGCTACATCACTGGCAGATAGGCTCCGTTGGCTTTGCCTTTGAATTGATTTGGGTGCCTTTACTTCTGCATTTGTACCAACAAAGTCTTCCCAAGAGTCCTTTATCATTTTGCCATACAATTAGCCAAGCTCCGGCAGACAGAATCCTTTTGGCAAAGGCAATGAAATCAAATTAAACAACACAGGTACATGTCTACATTGAACATTGTTGTATAGCTCTTCTTTAAGGGGCCTTAATACCAATCCATTACCGGGTCCTGCCTCTACCCTGAAGCACTCTGAGTTTTTCTTTTCAATGTACTTTTGTGCCACTCTTATTTCTACCCTTCCTGATCCCCAGAAGGGTACATATTGATAAGCCCTGTTTGCATAAACTTTTACAGGAAACACAAACTCTGTATAATGCCCCTCAGGCCTAGCATACCCATATGGAATATTCAAGGTACTGTTCCCTAAATAGGGATTGGTGCGATGCCTGTCAATTCTTACACAAGTATCATGGCTTTGCTTGTTCTTAGACCACTTACAGAATTGAATGCAATATCCAGAGGCATTGTCTATTTCACCCCACAACTGACCAGGGCTTCTGGCTCTCACCTCAGTGACAGAGACTTCTTCATATCTCCAAACTTAGATTGTTATTTCTGTGTTTATTGAGTTGCATTTTCCATGTACCGCAGTGGTAGACTTCTTATGTGCAATGACACCAGCTTCTTCATACACTGACAGTAGTCTGAAAAATCCAACCCAATTTTTGGTGTTCCCTTTACGGGAACCTTTGTGCAACTTTCACTGAGTAGCAGGAGCCATCGATCCTTGCTTTTAGGTCCCGCTTCTATTTGTACCAAATAAACGGCAGGGCTGAGGTTTTATATTATATAGTATGGGCCTCCCCACCTAGATGCCAAAAATGGGGGGTTGTCTGGGGTCAGCTGCACCATCACTCTGTCCCCAACTTGCCAATCTACAATTCGGGCTTGTTTGTTAAAGTATGCCCTCATTTTGGCATGATCCTGCCCCTGCTGCTGTGCAATAGACACTTACATGTCTCATAAATTTTCTCCCAGCAGTCTTACCGGCTGAGCTGTGACCAACCCTTCCTTCATTAGGTTTGGCAATGAGGACTGCAAACAAATATTCTGGGAGTCTCATCTCTCCGCCCATCATGGCAATAAAAGGAGTGACACCGGCTGGTTTACTTTGGCTTCCCCCTTAAATCCATAAGAATCAAAGGCCACTTTTCATCCCAGTCTTTGCCTGATTCACACACCGTGTTGTTTCACTTGTTCTGTTTGTCCTTTCCGCCAAGCCAGAAGCCTAGGGCTGATAGGGTATGTGACATTTTTGCTCTTTTCCCAGAATGATGAAAGCACCTTTCATTGCCTTCCCTGTGAAAGTTGTTCCTCGAGCACTGTCTACGCCCTGGGGCATTCCCACCTAGAAGAGACATTCTACAATCTTGCTGTAACAGGTGCAGTGGCTTTTCAAGTAGGCAAGGCCTCTATCCATTTAGTAAAAGGCATCAGCAATCACAGGCTATGGCTACACTACAGCGCTTACAGCTCTGCCACTGTACACTGTCCCTACAGAGGCTCTAAGCCAACAAAAGATAACACTTCTGCCAGCATAGTGCTGTC